CCCAAAATATTCAAATATGATACATCCAGCAGGTTCTTTTGATATTCAGGGATATTGTGGAATTCAAGACAGATTTCCATAGTTGTCAGAATTGCAAACCAATTCTGATTTTCAATGGCGTCAACGAATGTGATTGGATTTTCGTCTTTTCGAACATATGCAAAACTAATATTCGAATCAGCTGTTTACTATTGTGACAAAACTTCCATATGAATAAATTTGGAAGCGTTTGATACACATATTTGAAATACCTAATAAAGTCAACTAAAGTTTACAAGGAGTTCCGTTATTTTAGCTCCTCTTTTATTGGAAGAAAAAAGCAACGAAAAAATTAAAAGTAAGATACTTATATTAAAAGATCACAGTAATCCACTTAATGCACCAGGGGAATTGCATGTGAAATTTGGCTTGCATTTACTTGTATGTTTGTAAACATGCTTACTTTACAGATTTATATCAAATTATCGACTTAATAAAGATGCATTTGGGTGTTAAATTATGTTTATTAGTTTTGTAAATCCTCTTAAAATATCCATAAACTCAATAAGTATGACATTTTGTGTTTTCTTATGTTTTCCTCTATACAAATAACGATAAATTAGATTGTAACAATAATATAAATTATTTTCTTAACTTACATTTCAAATCTGTCAGCGAAGATCTCTCTCCAAAACCGCTACAATTTCTGTTTCGAACGACAAAACAATAATCTGAATGTCTGAATTCACGACACCTACTACATTTTTTTATCGGTCTCAATTCGGATTCCGACAACTATCACATACTAAACACCCCTGATTGTTAGAGTGTCGTCTGTTTAGATTAACTGCATTAACTTTACAGTCATACAAAAGCATTTCGTAACTTTTTTTGATATTTTCCTGTATAAAATCAAACCACTAACCAATGGTTACTTCGGCTAGCGTGAAGCCCGGATAACCTTCATTCAACTACTTTTAGGGTACCATTAACACCCGAATTTTCGTGTCATACAGTTTTATCAAAATAACGAAACTAGTGCCAACAAAATACAAAATCTCACATACTACACAGTTATGAAATACGAGACTTTTAAAGATTAGAACAAAATTTTCAATTCAAGTAGTACTTTTTTCTGTTACTGACATTCTGAAAGTCCGGCTGGTTTATGTGATGTCAAATTGTTTTTCAGATAAGTGGTTTTCAAGAAGAAATAAAAATGAAATAAAAATAATTTAATGTTATGACCAAGTATTTAGCTTATTGCATAAATATAAGGGGAGACCAAATTTGTTACCACTTTTTGCAGCAATTAGGTCCATATGTCCATATCCTCAATTGTCAATGGCGTCAATTGTCTCGGGCTTATCTGCGTAGATAAGTGACTTCATATAACCCCACAAAATATAGTTTAGTAGTGTTAAGTCGCTCGATCTTTGAGGCCACGCCACAGGCACACGACGCGAGATAATGCGCACACCAAAAGTTTCCTTCAATAAATTTATTGTTTCGTTGACTGTATATCTTCATTTTTAAAGAAATATGCACCATATCACCCATTCTAACAAAAGTGAGTTTCATCGCTTGAAAAGAATTTGTTTGATGAAAATGGGGTTTGGCGGCCATCTCGTTTTGACCCTCTTCACCGAACGTGCGATAAGCTTGATGATCGTTCGGCTACAATTCTTGCACGAGTTGAATTTTATAAGCTCGCAAACCAAAATCTTTTTGCAAAGTTTTCCATAAAGTGGATACTCCGCTCCACATTCACTAAAATAGCATGTCGTACATTAACGACTTTCTTCGCCGAAAAAATGTATAAAATTTAGGTTAAAATAAATGTATGTAGATTTCTCTTGTACATATCTATTTCTCCATTTTGTGCGTATGCAGTCTGATATTTTAATGGTCTATATTATAAAATACTCGACTACGAAGCGTTTTAAATTAATCAGTGATATTATAACCAGACCATAAACGACCACTCCGTATAATAATTTTTGAAAGTCTTGCTCCCGTACTCTAGCTAATTAATACTTCGAATTTCATTTGGCAGCACAATGTATTTAAAATGAATGTCAATTAGACATGTTGCACAAGTTCAACATAACAATAACCCTAACCACGCCCTAAAAACAAATTTGCATTTGAATTATATTTTTCTCTTTTGTGATATATTCACTGTCATAAGCCATCATAACTTTCTTTTACTGCATGAAATAAACAAATGAAATTTGTATGCACGACATATTTTCTGGTATACCTAGTATGCACAAATAAGTGGAATCTATTAAAATTGCTAACCTAAGTATATAGGTGGAATATGTGACTGTCGACGGTTCAGTTGTGGACTCGAAAGCGGATCGGAACAATTTTTGCCAAACATTTTAGAATTTCGAAATATTTTTCCGACCTGAAAAATCTTCTGATGAAAATTCAGCAGTTATCCTTAGGTGACTTCGAATATGTGGATATATAAAAGCCACAAAATCGATTTCGAAAAAGACTGCACCAGGCATCTATCTGACGGTTAACAAAAGATTTTTACGTTTAAGATTATGAACAACTGATTATATGATATATTTGTATTATAAATGCAACTAGCCACTGGTCAAAGGTAATTGAGTGGCGAGTCACAATTTTAGATGTTTTATGTACTATTGCCATCCCTTATAACATTATATAGATATGTCAAATGTGTTAATTATGGGGTATGAATACGTTGAATATATTTGGAAAAATATGTATACTTTATTTTTCAACTACAGCGTGTTATAAAAATAACGAACTTTTTGGATATAGAATAAAATGCACAATATATCATCTTTGAAAGTTATTATTTATACAAAATAGGTAGCATTGGACTCAATACAATGTTTGGAACGATCAGCTAACGTGTGCACAGGTTTCTTATGTCATTTATAGGAATGTTCTTGAGCCCGTCTTTAAATGGCTGGGATATCATCATAAAATACTTCCTACGTGTTGGTTTTCAGTTTTTGGAAATACCAAATAGTCATATGGTGGTAGATCAAATAAATACAGAGGGTGGTTGATGAGAGAAATCCATTATTACATTAAAAGCTGTTTCACTTTTTTGGTCTTCATTTAATTTATGTAGTACAAAACGTGCATATGCCATTTTTCCCAAGTCTTCAGTTAAAATTTCCAAATAGTGTTTTTACTCGTATTTTATCCCTCAGCTAACATTCTCGTATTGAAGCGCAGCGATTTCTTTTTAAAACTTTAAAAGGGGGCCACAAATTCAAAACAAATTTTATAGTTATATTAAAAAAAAAAAATTTCTTTACTTCTTCGATTTATTATTTTATCTACAAGTATGTATGTATAGTTCATTTATTTTTCGTTGTTATTCAACATACATTAGTGTACTAAATTGTTTATTGGTTATATTTGTTTTTTAACCAAACACAATTTTCATTGTTCTGATTTTTTATTTACCAATTTTAGCTTACGACTTATTCTGCTAGTCTCCGCGACATGCTTATTGGGCAGCGCGTACTCTGCTGCCAGCAGTGACGTGCTTGCCTCAGCAACTACCGCCAAACCGCAAGGCTTCGCTGCACGCTCCATTGAAGCGACCGATGAGGAGGATGAATTTGAATCACAAGCGCAGACGCATTTAGCTTACCGACAACAACAGCAGCCACAACAAATACAACAACGTCAATTGTACGACTATAGTCAGTCAGAGGAAGATCAGGAGGAGGCGCCACGACAAATCTATCAAAATCGAAATGTGAAACAGCAGAGTAATTACCTGAAGCAGAATAAAAAACCAACCAGCGAGGAGGAAAGTGAAGAGGAGGTAGAAGAGGAGCCGGACCGATTGTCACAACTGTTGGCTAAGTCATCGTTCAATTGCAACACAAAAAACTCTGGGTTGGTTTTTTTTTTTAGATTTTTGAAATAAATTTTATATTTTCATTCATAACTATTCTGTTTGCCGCTTCTGCAGCTATTACGCCGACGAGTCTCTCAACTGTGAAGTATTCCATTACTGCCAAGACAACCAACGCCATTCCTGGATTTGTCCGGAGGGATTCACCTTTCATCAAATCCACCTCATCTGTATGCCGCCATCGCATGACAATATCTGTCAGCAATCGTCAAAATATCACATCGTCAACGATTACCTCTACAAACCAATCAATCTTCAGGAACACCAAAGTAAACCAAACGTAACCCTGCGCTACTCAGAACGTTACTACCCCGAGAACTACTATGAAAACGAGCGTTACGAAGATGAAGAGGAGGCGCCACGTCAACGTGTCAATTATCAGCGTCAACCTGTGAGTATCCAAAAAAATTAATCTAATTAAATTATTATAATAAAATATATTTTTTACATAACCAGGTTCAAGTGGGTTTCCAGCAGCAGCAGCAGCAACAACCTATCTACCAACAACCCCGCCAACAAGTGCAACAGGTGCGCCATCAACCCGTCCATCAACAGTCACAGCCTCAACAGCAGCAAACAACCGCTTACCGCAAACCAGTTGCCGCCGCAACAACGACTCAGCCACAGCAGCAACAACAGCACCCCATTCAACAACGGCCCATCGCACAAACGATTGCACCACTAGTTACACCGAGCCCTTACAGATTCTTCACGGCTGCATCTCCTCTGCAACATGCCGTGCCACAGCCACAAGTATACCGTACACCAGAGGAGATTAACATTTCACTGTTACAGCGTCGCCCACAACTCTTCGTCGCCACCTCGACGCCGCGGTACTATGAGGACGATTACTTATACGAACGTAGAAAGTAAAGTTGACAAATTAAAGTCGAACTCGCTACCTTTCTATTCAACTGTAGTTTCTCCACACTCTTGCTTACGGTAATGCTATCATATTTATCTTGTACAGTAATTGCAATCTGAATTGTATTCAAAGCGCAAATCGAACACTTCGATCCTAATCTAGCTTTAAACATTAAGTCTAACGAATTGTAAACAATTTTTATTTTTACTCCTTCTTAGTTATTTACTGTTATAACATCTATGTATGTATATGCATGTATATAACGAATTCGAAAGTCGTCCCAAAAATCGAATTATATGTGTACCTTAATATGAATGGTTATTTGTACTTTTGTAAACATAAATTAAATTAAATATGTAAAAATACTAAACTTGTGTAATTGTTCTGGGCAATGCAATGGATTTGTATTGATAACAAGCGGAAACGTCAGCGGATTTTAGAAACCTGGAAAAGGGTCAGTAAATGATTCGGTTCTTGGTTTGAGAAGGGTAATTGCAAAATATTGTCAATACTTGGATGCTGGTGAATTTTCTTCTATCTTTTTCTTCGATTGCGAGTGTCAAAAATTGGTTTAACAAACATTAACGAAAAAGGCTAACAACATTTTGTGTTGGCAGATCGCCAATTAAGCAAGATAACTGAGAGAGTAGGAATATTGGTCTGAAAATACCGCGTCAACATTATCCTGTTTCAAATATTAGGCAGAGGAAAACTTTCGGCTTGATGTATGCCGCACGTGCAAAGGTGGGACCACTTTAAAACATTGTTTAACATTATTTAAGCGCAAGGGTTTTTGTGTCGTTTTGTGACTGGTACACAGCAAAGACTAAGAAATAGTCCTGTCAGTGAACTTCACTCGGTTAGTTGTGATGTCGAAAACTTCAGTAGCCGGGCAGTCATTTTAATCGAATAAGGAGGTTATCGCCATCACGGAGGCGAAGACTTCTAGAAAGCGTTTTTTCAGAAATAAATCATCGTTTTTCTTTAGTATGCAAATACTGTCGGTACATACTTACACATATATGTACTCTGCATGAGGAGCAGTTTCTCGCCTGATACGTTCATCGAAATGGGCCAAATGCGTAAGTGAGTTTCAAGCCACATATCTTAGCCGTAAAAATGTTCAAAAATACTCGGTTAATAAATGTTACTGTCAAGTACTTATTACATTACCTTGCTTCACAACTTCACGCCAGCCTCCACCCATTTTGCAGCACTGCATGGGGTCTTTTACTATTTTTTGTCAAATATTATAGTCCCTGAGAACGACACTAAAGTCTAAGGTTTGCGATGTCTTTTCATTCAATATATACGATTTCGATTCAACATATGTAAATGCCGTTCTTTGAGCGTTTACGTTTATGTGTCATTACAACGAGGTTATTTCATTACACAGAGTACTACTCGTGGCGGCTAATATAATATATAAATATATATGATAATATGTCGAACAAGGATTCTGAAATGATTCTGACACCGTTGTTTCATTACCATAGTTGATGACTTTTTCTTTTTGGCATGCTGTTCTTAGCTGCAATTATTGCGTTAGCTTGAGATTATTGCGTTTGCTATCCCTTTGCGTCATAAACGCCCAGATAGTTCTTCGCTTAAATCAAAAACCACCCTGACGATCCTGGTAGCGTTAGACTTGCCAAAAGCCTTTGACACTGTCTATCACACAATGCTACTTGAGGACATAGAACAATCCACGCTCCCTCCAGGCCTGAAGAAGTGGCCCGCAACCACCTGAGCGGTTGGCAATCATCCGTACTGTTTCAAGGTCAAAACTCCAAATTAAGAAGAATTATACTGGTGTTTTGGACAAAGAAGTACAGACTGAATCTTAACATTACAATCGATGCCGTAAAAATTCCGAAAAAATGTTGTTTGCAACATACATACATGGCAATCGGCCTCCGGGTCATAAACTACTCCGCACTGATATGGTCAAATGGATGTAGTGAAACGCAGACGAAGATGCTTCAGACGTGTCAGAATACTGCACTCCGGACTACTACAGGATGTCTTTCGATGTCTGCGGTTGAACATTTGCACTGCGATGCCCGCATGCTTCCGGTTAAGGAGCTTCTCTCCAAGCAGTTTCTGCTTTGATGTGTTCGAAGAAACCAACTTTGCAGTCGTCTGCTTGAAGCGGAGCACCCTTCTAGGAACATCAAGAGGTCCTTTTCTTAATTACGTCGACGATATTGAACAGTACGCCGACCAGACTTCGGACGTAACTACAACCACAGTGGAGCCATTAACAGTGAATGACGTACTTGGAGTCAAACCACCACCCATTGAAGACGAAGAACTCGAGCTGCCACGAAAATCCAGAGTAACCGTTGCTCAAATTCAACCCCGACACACCAAATATATGTTCAGCGTGCAACGAGTACCCACATGACTCTAACCACCTCTTTGCATACCCAGCGAACCCCACTCATATAGCACCGTTCTCCCTATGGTCCGACACCTTTGAAATAGTACGTTTCCTGCACCTACCTTTTGAAGTCATGACAACCCGAACCTTACCACCCAAACGAGGATTAAATCTCCACTACAATAACAACAACCATTCGGGTCAGCAATTTCCACTGATCAGTAATCATTAACCTCTCACCACAAGTACTTTGACATCTTGGCTGAGGGAAGGGCTCGTGTGGTAACGTCTACATTAGATAATAGATAACTTTTTCTTGTAGAAATTCTTTTTGCATTGGCGGCCTTCGGTCGCGCTTCAAAAATAATAACCCTGGTCGGTCCAACACCGGGGTGTACCAAGGTCTTTTTGCGTTAAACTCCTTTTTGCGTTGCCGGCCTTCGTCCACGTTTCAAAAAAATAACCCTGGTCGGTCCAAACCCTCGTGGTGTACCAAATTTTTTTTGCGCAGAACTTCTTTCTGGCCAGGTTAACATCGGGGTTTATCGGGGGTTATCAGGTGAAGGAAACTAAAAAAATTATTAGTGCCCATCAACAATTATGTTTCCTGTATTTAGGGTATAATCGCTCTTTTTTTTATTTTTCTTCGTTTGCAAAATATATTAGTATGGCAACACTGGCTATTTGATATTTACAACACTTTTGTTATTGTCAAAATTAATAAAATTGAAGAATGATTTAAATATTGAAATACAGCTATTTTTGCATCATATAATATAAAATAAATGTCTAGAAAAGAAATAGTGAAGTGTTAGTGGATATAAAAATGAAAAATATAAGGGTATAATTCATACAAAATCGAAAAAATATCTCAAAAACTATAAGTTTCTCACGGCTTAATCTATCTATATATTCGTGATCCCTTGAATCTCCTCTATCCGCCCATACCCACTTTATTTCCAAAAGCCTAGGTATAAAATACTAAAGCCGATCCAATCTTTGGCTAATTCAAATTTCTCTATTTTTCTTAATTAGAAATATAGGGAAAACTTTAGTATAACGTCCCACGCTTTCGGGGATAAAATGGGTATGGGCGGATAGAGGAGATACTCCAGATCAAGAATATATATAGATATAGCCGCGGGAAACTTATAGTTTTCGAGATATTTGGGTTTAAAGTTCAAAATTTCGACTATTTAAAGTACGCATTTTTCCCATTTCGAATGAGTTATACACTTATATTTTCCACTTTTATATCCACTAACACTTCACTAATTCGTTTGTACACATTTATTTTACATTATATAGTGCAAAAATAGTTTAATTTAATAATTAAATTATTGTTAAATTCTATTAATTCTGACAATAACAAAAGGGTTGCAAAATTTCAAATAACCAGTGTTACCTTATCGACATCTTTTGTAATTGAACTGAAAGAAATTAAAACAGATAATACCCCAAATACAGGTATCCAAAACCTAGAGAAATAAACTATTACAAAGCATTGATGTTAAGTATTATGTTATACCCTCTATGACAATATTACTTTTTTCTTGTAGAACTTCTTTTTGCGTTGGCGGCCTTCGGCCGCGCTTCAAAAAAATAACCCTGGTCGGTCCAACACCGGGGTGTATCAAGGTTTTTTTGCGCAGAACTCCTTTTTGCGTTGGCGGCCTTCGGCCGCGCTTCAAAAAAATAACCCTGGTCGATCCAACACCGGGGTGTATCAAGGTTTTTTTGCGCAGAACTTATTTTTGCGTTGTTTCCTGTATCTAGGATACAATCTCTCTGTTAATTTTATTTTTCTTCGTTTGCAAAATATATTAGTATGGCAACACTGATGTTTTGACATTCACAACCATTTTGTTATTGTCAAAATTAATAAAATTAAAGAATGATTTAAATATTGAAATAAAGCTATTTTTGCAGCATCTAATATAAAAAAAATTTCTAAAAACGAATTAGTCAAGTGTTAGTGGATATAAAAGTGAAAAATATAAGTGTATAATTCATTTTAACTCGACAAAAACTCAAAAAAACGTACTTTAAATAGTTGAAATTTTCAACTTTAAACGTAAATATCTCGAAAACTATCAAGATTCCCGCGGCTATATCTATATATATTCTTGATCTGGAGGATCTCCTCTATCCGCCCATACCCGTTTTATCCCCGAAAGCGTGGGACGTTATTCTAAAGCCGACCCGAAATATATTTCATAGTAAAATTGAGTTGTTGGAAACAATCTAACGTTAATACTATAATACTTAAAATGAACACACCTAATATTGAATTATCAAACCACCTTAACATCCTAATTTTGTTAAGTCAAGTGATAACAGATGATTTTGACAGTTTGATATTTTGGCTATTTAGCATTTGGCAAAAGCGATCATTAAATCGAGTTTATAATTCGGTAATAGAAAACTTATAAAATTACCATGGTTACACAAGAATTTCAAGCTGTGGTCCTAGCGGCTGGCCGAGGTTCACGTCTGCCTGAAGTGTTGACTGATTCGCCGAAATGCCTGTTGCCAATCGGTCCATACCCATTATTATGGTACCCATTGAATATGCTCCAACAGCATAACTTTCAAGGTAAAATATATGCGAATATTTTTATTTTAATTATTATTGTTGTTTTGTTTTAAAAGATGTAATTGTTGTGGTTCTGGAAAATGAGCGTTCGGAAATACAACAAGCACTAGAACGAACTCCACTAAAGATAAAAATTGACTTTGTGGCTATTGATAATGACAGCGATTTTGGCACCGCCGACAGCTTGCGGATAATACACGATAAGTAAGTAATATAGGGGAAATAGTTAAGTACAACTTAAAATTACTGACTTATAAAAACATTTTTTTTTTGCAGAATTAAGTCTGATTTTTTGGTGTTATCTTGCGACATTGTATCAAATGTAAGTTTGTATCCCCTAATTAACAAATTTCGCCAGCACGATGCTGCCTTGACAGCCTTACTATTCAAAAGTGGATTTGAGTCGGATGTTACGTTGCCCGGACCGAAATCAAAACATAAACCTGAACGTGATCTTATCGGTATTCATCCTGATTCTAATCGCTTGCTATTTCTTGCTTCAACAAGCGATTTTGAAGAAGTAATGAGCGTAAACGCTCATTTGTTGCGAAAGAATGGAAAAGTAACGATATTCTCTAGGTTGGTAGATTCTCATATATATGTAATGAAAAAATGGACAATTGATTTCCTTCTTAAGGTAAGTTTATCGGTAATGGTCTTATGAACAATTAAAATTAAAATTCAAATATTTATAGAAAGAAAACTTTTCAACACTTAAAGGCGAATTCTTACCGTATATCATTAAAAAGCAAATGTCTAAAAAACCGGGGAGTTCAGCTGCCGCCCCAGATATGCAATCGGAAGTGGGAGTTACAATAAAATTAGAAAATGATATATTTCATGTCAGTGTGCCACTTTAACTACAACACGCATATTTTAATTCAGCATTATTATTTCTTTCAGTATGCTTCGCACACACATCTAGAACAACGTATACAGAAAGCTACACTCTTTAACGATTCTCGAATCAAGGAGCCATACAATGGTGATTTAATTCGCTGTTATGCTGTTGTGGCACCTAAAGAGAGTATTGGTGTGCGTGTGAATACTACCCTAAGCTTTTTCGCAATTAATCAAAAGGTAAAATAGAAAATAATTATTTTGTATTAATTTAATAATATAAAATTTACATTTATCTGTTCCAACAAAAAACAAACTTAATCTAAAAATTACATTTATCTTTTTATAATAACCGGTATAAACTCTGTGATTCCTTTTTAGATTTTCAATATTTGGCCACAATTTTTCAACGATCAGGAACACTTGCTAATTTCATCAAATGCTGTCATAAACTCAACTCAAATGAAGGAAATCGCAGTCGGAGATAGTGCGAAATTGTCAGAGAAAACATCACTTAATTTTAGTGTTTTTGGTGCTAATTGCACAATCAATCCGAAAAATATTATAAACAAATCTATTATAATGACAAGCGCTATTATAGAGGAAGGGTGAGTTTCCATTTCATGAAACTAATTCCATGTACTCTTATATTTATTTACATATATTTATTCTTTTTTGCCATTTAGTTGTAATATTGAGAATAGCATCGTTGGAAGCAGAGCTGTAGTTAAACGCGGGTGCGTACTGAAAAACTGCTTAATTGGACCAAGTTACGCAGTAGAAGAGGGTACGAAGAGAGAAAATCAACATTTAACAAATGCTGATGGATTTATGGAGATTGATATACAATAAAAATGAGACTTTCTATGTAATGAATACTATTTTTTATTAATTCCTCAATGTATATAATTTTTACGAAGACTTGCAGTAGTAAAACAAATCACATCTGCAGTAGAAGTGCTATCCATATATGCAAAACTGTGTACAGTATTCATCTTTTGTTGGTAGTTATTGATGAAACTTAAATTTTACAACAATTTTTTTTTTACCAGCCTATCTAACTTTAAATGACAAGTAGCTTATTTGAGCTTATTTTTATTTATTAGTGACCAAAAAAACCGTTTTAAATCTTTCGAATGTATGGTTAGAAAAAAAGAAGAAGAAAAAAAGAAAAACTGCATAATGAGAATAATATGGGATTAGCTTTCACCTGTCAAATATTTATTTTTGTTTTGTTGACCAAATTCTATATTCTACTTTCTTTTCCTCTTTATTCTATAATTTCAATAAACAAACGTTTCTTTTTATTGAATAGCAGCTGATTAGACGTTAGTGATTTTAACTATTTAAATAGGTTTTTTTTTATCCATTCAATAGGAAATGCTGTTGATTCATCGGCTGTCGCCGCTAATGCGAACCACTAAAGTCCGATTGTATGGCAACAAATACATAAAAGCAAATAAAATGAGTAATATGTTGTCAGGAAATCCACCCAGTAAACAAGTGCATCAGGAAACTATGCGCTACATTTATCCATTTGCGCGAATTAATGTACGCTCCGACATTTATTTGCAAGTTAAGGCTGCCGACGTGCATGAGTACCCGGATGCCAATGTGCTAATCGCCGAATTGCATGGTGGACACGCTCGTAATTGTCCTGTTAACATGCACGTTGATGTGAGTGAAGATGAAAGGCTAGTAAATATTGCAATAAATAAAACTGCAAACGCCTTTGATTTCCATTGCAATCTGGAAATACCCATTCGCGCGGATTTGCATATTGAGGGTCTTGATAGCGTTACAGTGCGGAATATCTTTAGTTCAGAAATTACAGTTCGAGCGCAAAAAAATATAGACACCAAAGAGTTACGAGCAGATAATATAACTCTAGACAGTGCTGGTGGAAATATATCTTGCAAAGGTATGCTCTTGGGCAAAGTTACAGTGGTGGAGACAAAGGAGTTAGGAGTAGGTGAACCGAATAATAAAAAAATGTGAATAATAATTTAAATATATTATAATGTTTTAGAATATTTCATTTGAGAAGTTGCAGGGTGATCAGTTAAGCTGTAAGACAGATGCTGGTAGCATCTCTACAAACTCCTGCTATGTGGAAGAGTCCAAATTTGTAACCAATACCGGTTCTTTACAATTAAAAAATGTCCACAAAAGAACTGAAGTGGATGTTCAAAAAAGTGGAGAACTCAATATGAGTAAGTTATACTCTTTACTTATAAAAGCGCAATCTAAAGTTTAACTACTGCTCTTCCAGCTGGAGTTCATGGTAATCTTACGGTGCGCACCAACGGTGGAAAATTAAATCTGCAGCTCTCCGAATTGGCTGGAGAAAACGTTGTTAAGGCAAACGGAATTGAACAAGCTATTATTAACATTTCCGAGTGCATTGAAGAACAGTCCAACATTGAAGTTACATCCCGTGCCGTAGTACTTGATGGTTCACTTTCGCATTTAAAGGATTGTGTGATTAACAAAGATACACTTTTTCGCAACCCAAAAACTACAAATGCGTTAAGTAATTTGATTGTAAATAGTACTGGCGCAGTTAAACTTGGCAAGCTATCTTGGATGGAGTCCCTACGCGGGCAACTAGACAAATCAGGACAGAAATAGTCAGAAAATAATTATATAGAAAACAGTAAATATATGATGATACTCCACAATTTTAGTGATGTATAGTAAGTTAAGTTGTTCATTAAATTAGTAACATATAGCACCGGCTTAATCAATTCTGAATAATGAGATTTTTATTGCTGTAAATTTTTTAGTACATTTCGTATTTTTAAATAGCATCGCTTTGATGGTTGATCATTATCGCCAATGCTAAGGGTACTTTGCAAATTCCTCATATTGTCGTCAAGATTTTCTTTCAAAGCATTTTCCAACTGTTGATCAGTAGCAGCATTAATCACACGAACTATCATATTGAGTATTGTTAGGTAACCGGTTTCAAAATTAAATTCATCGTCCTTAAATGCAATATCTTCAAAATCATTTCCCGGTGGTGTCTTTCGTGCAAGCCTCTCATTTTCCAATCTTAATAAATTCCAAATACTAATTGTATATATCAGGCATCTTTCATCAAAAGGGTCTCCTAGGGACTAAATAATTTTGCATATTAGGTATTTTACGTACAAGTATATTAAATTTAAGTTTCTTAAACAAACCTCAAAGATGTCATTGATGCTTTCCAAAAGATCTTGTTCCTGATTGGTCAAGTGCTCTATATACTTAGGATTGCATAGAGGCTCGAGAATACAACCTAAGCAGTCCATTAGTGACTCAATATGTGGAAAATAACTATTTTGTGACAGGTTATCATACTGCGTTAATATACAGTGTATGTTGAGGAAAATCTGCATTAAATTGTGCGTACTCTGTGTAAGCACAATCGTGCTTTCGACATCACCGTTATCATCATCATGAATTCCATGCAACTCCGCATTATCTCGCCTCGGTAATAGCGCTAGGAAAGCTTCTGTAGTGGCTTTTATTAAAGATGCATTGACAAATAACTGCTCAAATGTTGGCAATAACACTGTATTATCAGAATCGTCATCATAATTATTTTTAGGTACTTTTTGATTAGGTTCAATAAGGGCAAATTTTGCTAGTATCGCATTTAGAGTTTCGATTGTTTGACGAAGAAGTTGCTCGTTTATGGAATTACTTAATATAAATATAATATTTTTAATGAAATCGGGACAAAGGGATATATGTTGATACCAATGCAAAGCAGTGCCACGATCTGCATGTATTAGCACAACAGAAAATAGTCGAGTGAGTTGAAGAAGTGTTGGTGAATCGGAGCAATTGGTTAAATCTAGAAGCGTTTGAACCAGCGATGTATCATTAACAAGTGCATCACGAGATTCTTTAAAATTACACATGTTTCCCAATATGCCTACCAATATTTCAACTAATCGTTTATCATTTGTTGCAAATATGCAATCGGCAAAGAGTTCCAATACATTATGCTCCAGTAGCAGTTGCACAACATCCTCTTCAATTGTCATATCCCAAATTGTACACAGGTCATTTTCAAAACTATCATTTTCGGAAAGCTCTTTTTCCAATTTGGTCAGTTTCAGCAACGTCGAAAGCACAAAACGTTCACTGTACAATGTAGTACCAATAGCATCGCCGCGTATAACTGCTAAGTCCGCTTCAATATGATCACTACAATCAGGATGTACAGAAAGGTTGCAAGTCTCACCGTTGATTGAATTATGATTGTTTTCGGGTTGATTCACTAAACCATCTTGGACTTGTATTTTTTTCGAAAGTGTGGGCGAACTTTCAATTGTATTATCTTTTTCCATTTATAAGCTTTTAGGTGTTTTATTTATTTATTTTTTCTAAAAACAAATGAAATTTAAATGTTTTGCTATTATGATAGTTTTGTTGTTTTGATATGAAAATTATAGTCTATGGATTACCCTGTTTGTAAATTGCACTGTTTTATTGTTCGCCATAAACCATACGTAATAATCTTAAAATTAAACCTTTTTAGAATGGTCTTTGGAATATTTTAAGACTGAATTTTTAATGGTTTAATAATTTTTTTTAACTAAAGTTAAACTAAATTAAAGTTAAAATTACAAAAATATTATTTGTACACCTTGTGTTTCGTTCCTCACAATGTCTTGCATATTATCAACGTTGATATTATGTTTACTTACATTGTGATTCGTTGATTGCTCAAAAACCTAGAAATTAATGAAAAATGTCTGTTGTAATAGAAACCACAGTAGGCGATATAACTGTTGATCTATTTGTGGATGAGCGCCCGATTTCGTGTCTTAACTTCATTAAGCTGTGTAAATTTAAATACTACAATTATAATCTTTTCCACACAATTGAACGTGGATTTATTGCACAGACCGGTGATCCTACTGGCGTAGGCAATGGCGGTAATTCTATTTGGGGTGAAGTTGATGGTCTTGATAAAAGATTTTTTGAAGCTGAAACCATACCAAAGATTTATCACTCTTCAGCCGGTCTCTTGTCGCTCGTTTCTGCAGGCAAAAATTTAATCGGATCTCAATTCTTTTTCACTTTAGCGCCAAATTTATCTTCATTAGATGGTATACATTGTGTTATTGGCGAAGTTGTAGAGGGTAAGAAATAGATAGTATGTCTATATTTTAAGTGGTTTTGTTATTTACATTTTAAAAATGTTATTGAACCTTCCGTGGACATATTCCATTGTAAATCTTCACCTTCTTGTTAACATAACGCAAAATTAGAATTTCAAATATGAAATAAATGAATGAATGAACAAATTAAAATACTTACATACAACATTTATCCTATTTCAGGACATGAAACACTTCGAAAAATTAATGAGGCCATTGTCGATGACAACTTTCGACCTTATCAAGATATTCGCATAACTCATACAGTTATTTTAGAAGATCCTTTCCCAGATCCAAGTAACTTTTTATTACCAAGTCGTTCTCCATCTCCTACACCACAACGTTTGCAAAATGGTCGTATTGCTGCAGATGAAGATATTGACGATACAGACGGGAAAACTGTCGAAGAATGGCAAGAGATGCTTGCGGAGCGGGAAGCAAAAGCGCGAGCAACTATCCTGGAGATAGTTGGAGATTTACCTGATGCAGAAATGGCACCACCTGAGAATGTGCTTTTCGTTTGCAAATTAAATCCAGTCACTACTGACGACGATTTAGAAATTATTTTTAGCCGTTTTGGAAAAGTAAAAAATTGTGAAGTAATTCGAGATAAAAAATCAGGCGACTCACTTCAATATGCATTTGTTGAGTTCGAAGATCAGAAATCTTGTGAAGCAGCTTATTTTAAAATGGACAATGTTCTAATTGACGACCGTCGGATTCATGTTGACTTTTCACAATCTGTTGCAAAAGTGAAATGGCATGGAAAGGGCCGCGGGGTGGAAGGTTCCTTGAAACGAAGTGAATTTGACAACTTACGGGAACCCAACAAAAAACATAGAATGGATGATTGCGATCGAAAAGAGGCTGGTCGAGAGCGTTCAAAGAGAAATAATTCAATAGAGCGCAGATTGGCCCGAGAAGAACGCCATCGTGTACAAAGGGAAAAGGATGAAAGACGAGAAAATAGTTACAGATATGAGCGAGAAAATAGTTCACACCGAAGGAAAAGCCGATATTATGAAAATGTAGAACGTGAACAGGGACCGTCACGAGATCGTTATAGGCGATCACGTAGCCGTAGTGGGGGGCGATCTAAAAGATATTATCCAGTTAGAGAACGACACGACAGGTATATCGAATCAAAGAACTATAAACATCATTTCGAAAAATCTAAGCAGCGAGAGTATTCAGATCACAAAAGTAGTGGAAAGCAATTAGACAGAAAACGACAAAATGAAAGGAATGAAAATGGTTCTAGAAAATCAAAAGCAAAATCGGAGCGAAGAAGAAAAGATAGCACATCCTCAAGTTCTGACAGCGATAGCTCAAGTAATGAGTCATCTAGTATGGATACTGGAAGTAGCAGTGATATTCCTAGTGACACATCTGGCGATAGAAAACGGCAAAGACAAAAAAATAAAATAGTGAAAAAGAAAAAAACTAACAGCGAGTCACACCAAAGTAAAAGCAGATATAGGAAATAATACAGTTATTAATTACTATTATATATTGTTATTATTTTCACATGGATTTTAAAGATAACTAGGTTTCGATACTTGGGATTTATTGATTCAGTTTTTAGAAGGGTTTTGCCCTCCACAACAGCCGCCCATAGAATTTCCTTTACGATTTCGGGAGGTTGGCTTCTCAATTATAGCATCTGGATTGAAAACAACGTTGTCCAATCGTGTCGTTTCTTCCGTGATACGTAATTCTAAAAATTTACAATTTTTAGCATTTTTTGTTTTGTAGTTAAAGTGTAATCTTACTATATACTCCTTCTTTTTCCTGAACGGCTTGTATAACACTTGTGCGTAGTTCATTGTCAACGTCATGGGCCAGTTGTATCATCTAAGGTATAGAAGTGTACACTTAATGATAAAATAAAATTGCGTTTTCACACCTTTTTTATTTCCTCCTCATTTTTTTCGTTTTGATTTTTCCGAAACTGGTCATTTATTTCTTTACGCCCGGCTTTCAACGTAAGCTCGTCTCCTTGGAACACGAATTGCCTTGTGCGATGTAATTTCTTAAACGCTCTTAAGGCCTATTGACAACGTATAATTTTGTTACTTTTAGCATTGTTTTCTAAAATATATTCACTTACTTCTCGTCGAAGTTGCGACATATTATAATTTCAACTAAAAATTTATATTTATATAAACTTAATTTAACACCACACTTGACTTAAGTAAATACATCTGCGTATCAGCTGATAACACAGGGTGTTGTTTAAAATACGTCTAGTATAGAACACACAATACATTTATTTTGTGGCGATTTTAGGTTTTTTTCAACAGAAAATATACCTATATTATACATAATCTTAATCAAATTTTCATCTTTAAAGTTAAATCATAATCGTTCAAGAAGACTTTGTTCATTGTTTGATTGCTGACTTGAACTAAAATTTTCTCTAAAAAGGTATCAATTTCGAGTCTCGATTCACAGCTGTCTGACAATTTTTCGGTAAAAAATGTTCCTGCCCACGGCGCGCAATAAACGGAAGGTAAATGTGATAAAAAAACCAAATAACCTGAAATATTAGTTTCGTTTGCTCATTGTAGTCAATTGTAAATGTTGGTACGTATACGCCTGCACAGATTTTTGCATAAATTTGTAAGACAGCAAAGGCTGTAGGTAATTTCTATTCAAGCATAGAACTGCTGCATTAATAACTACTTATATACAAACATATGTAATATTTATATACCAACATACGGCCTGTTTATATAAATATGATGAGAAATAATAAAATACACTCGTTTGGTTAGTCTTTCAGGTAACTACCGATACCAAACTCGTAACAGTTGCGAGAAGTTTAAGCCAATTTGTTGCTTGAACTGAAATTAAAATGAGTAAATATACGTCAAAGTATTTGGAAAACAAACTAGCGGATAAATTGGGAGCGTTATACGTAAATGCGATCGACGAATCAGACGGCTGTGGTGGTAAATTCAGTGTGACTATTGTTTCGGAGGCATTCCGTGGTAAGACATTGCTGCAGAAACATCGTTTAGTGAATAGTGCTCTAGCAGAGGAACTAAAGGAAATTCACGCATTCTCTCAAAAATCATACACACCCGAAGAGTGGGAAAAAGTGCAACAGAGTTTGAAGCGCTAATGAAAATGTATTATTTTTATCAGAGCTCTATATGTTTTTTATCTAAATGATCTTATAATAACTACTCAGCGAGAAACAGTAGTAAAAAGCAAGTAATTTTATTAAGCTCAAACTTTGTTGGAAAAACAAAACCAGCGAATATTGATTAAAGCTAAAAAACCGGAAATCATCTACATAAGTATATACTGCGCAGAAAGTGAAAGTATATTAAACAACTACATACATAAATCTATATATACCAGTTAAACGTAGGTAAGACAGCGCATGCGCACATAATTCAAGAGTTGTGTAATTTCAACTAAAACGTTTAAAAATATAAATAAAATCTCTAGAAGAAAGCAACTGTAATTCGTTGAAAACCGAAACGCAATGATAACCGATCTACGAACTAAAAGTCAAGTGACCTTATTTGCGTAAAATACGACTACAAAGTATTACTCAACACAATTCTAATTTGTTTGAGACGTGGCGAGTTCAGCTCCTTATGTATTCGTGTGCGTAAACAAGATAGCTGTTCGTTTTCGATTTCTATTTAAATTTTTCTGTGCTGACGGAGCAAGTAAACAGCGTACATAAATTAAAAATCGATCTAAACAATAGCCGGCGAACCATGAACAAGTTTCAAATTATTGCGCCGGGTAAAGTAATTCTCCACGGTGAGCATGCAGTCGTTTATAAAAAACCTGCTCTAGCTGCCGCTGTCGGACTTTCAACGAAATTACTATTCTACCCACAACCAGAAAGTGATGTCGCTATTTTTAATTTGGAATCGTTGAATTGCACCTTTGAGATTCAATTGTCACAATTTAATGATTTCATTAAAGGTTTTCGTGAGAAATACCCGGAGAGTAAGCTTGATTGTTCCGCAAAACTACTTGAGGATGTACGCGCTGTTATTGCAAAACAATTCGATGGCAGCACCAACAATTCCCCAAAACAGCAGCAATCACGGAAAACATTTTTATCCATATACTATTTACTCGCTGGAGCAGTTCTGGCAGCGCCGAGTGAACTTACTTTAAAACCTGGATTTAAAATTCAGATTGATACCGAATTAAATATAGGCTCTGGTTTGGGCAGTTCTGCATCATTCGGTGCCACATTAGCAGCGGCATTTCTACTTATCACCGGTCATTTCGATGAAAAATCATACCTTAAATTGGAAAATCGAGCACTTATCTCTCAGTGGGCTTTTGAATCGGAACGCATTATGCATGGGACGCCATCCGGCGTTGATAATACCGTAGTGACCTACGGCGGCATGTTAAGGTTCGTTAAAGGCCAAGCATTTCAGTCACTTAACATTCAGCGACCACTCAATATAATGTTGGTAGATAGTCGTGTTAATCGCAGTACCGCAGATATAGTTGCTAAGGTACGGCACCTGTGGGAAACATTTCCAAAAGTAATTGATTCCATTTGGGACGCTTGCGAAGAGATAGTAGCAGATGCCATACCACTGTATGAAAGCTTTGGTAATGCTAAGGATGATAGTGTAAAGTTTGAAAAACTGGAGCGTTTGTTCCAAATTAACAATGATCTGCTTAAAGCTATCGGTGTGACACATCCAAAATTGGAGCAAATATTCGCCATCGCTTTTAAACGTGGTTTCTTTAGTAAGATAACAGGTGCGGGAGCGGGTGGTTTCGCTGTTGTGCTATTGCCTGAAAATTATGAGAGTAACGAAGTTTATTGGAAGTTGAAAGAGGAATTAGAGTCGGCGGGTTTTGGAGTGCAATCTACTACAGCTGGAGGCGAAGGATTACGTATTAAGGATTTGGAGGACTAGTTTTTTAAAAATTTTACCACTAATAACTTAAATTTTTGTTAATTGCCGGTTTTGACATAATCGTATAAATGATTTTCTTGTAAAAAATTGGAAACGTAAAATGATGTTAACAATGTAATAACGTAGAATAGGATCAAATAAACTTATTTCTCTGATTTTAGAATTATTAAGTTTAATTATAAATTGCACGCATTTGATTTTATTTTTTTTTTATAATTATGCTTGATTCTGCACAAAGCTTTGTTTATTAAAATGCTAATATAATAAATGTAAAAATGTCGATAATTTAATGTATTTTAAAAATTAAATTAGGAGTTAACGTTGGCTTGTATCCCTTGATCTGTAGGGTATACCACGGCTTTTCATTTCCCGCAGAGTTGCTTGAGGAAGATTACCTGATACAGATATCGCATATACACCACGCGTGAAACGTCCTGAAAATTAACAGAATATTAGCATATTTATGTTTAGTTAATTACACATTTTTTAAATTTAACAACCAAAAAAGAAATCTTCTTAGGTAATAATGATGAAGTACGAACATACCGATTCGTTGCCATTTCGCTACCCAAGAATCTTCTGGGCTCATCAATGCAATAATGCCATCGAAGTTGTTGCTCGTGTGATCATATACATTGTCTTTATTGTTCTTCATGCGAAGAAATTCATCACAATTATCACATCCATCACATTCGAACTGATCGAAACTCTAAAATTAAAAGAAATTCAAGTAATAATATGGATGTAATTATCTTGCAAGAACCTACTTTTACAAGTGAACACACTAAGCAAGCGCGCAGTCCTCGTAAATCCTTTGGTATTGTATCGAAAGACATCGTTGGTTTTATATTTCAAGTTTTGAGATTATTAAACTTAGATATGTCTAAAACACCTCCTTAAATTAACTTTTTAGGACACCGTTTGTGCAATATACAAAAAAATGTATTTAAGATTCCGAATTAAAAACAAGAATGAATTCGCTTTGATGAAAAAACTGTTTTGACAGTTTTTAAGTGTCAATTAAAAATAAAGTTGCCACACCTTTTTTTAACGAAATATATTTATATCAACAAAAAATTTGGGTTAGATAAAATTTAAAGTATGTGTTTATTAGGAAATAACATGTCAAATGAGAGATTTACAAAAATTTACTTATAGAGAAATATTTTTACTAATGTTCACATTTTATCTTAATACAAAGGTCTTACTTCGGTGAATTTTACAGCTCCTTATCTAGATAACGTCAAAAATATGTTTTATGGATAATAGATATACTTTTTTTGTGCTTTAGATATTTAAATAAGATTTCTCTCTTCGCCTAATATCTGGTAAATAATTCTCTGGCATATAATTAAAATAATTGTTTTCGTACATTATATATTTTTTTGAGTTATCCGTATTCTTTTCTGATTTATATAAAAATTCAGTTAATTTTTGGCAACTTATTAAGAAAAATATGATACATTTTTGGTATATTTTATTTTGTAACTTTTAAATAAATTATATTAGCAAAGACTAAATGGCAACGTTAGTATTACTTTAAAAGAAACATTGGAAATGAATTTCTTTCGTGACGAAATTAGTGTTAGTTGTCAAATTTTGTCTATCGTTCTGCTGCTGCCAATAATATTTTGTACAAAAATAAACAATTAAGCATGGAATATTTGTATTAATAATATCTAAATTTTCGTAATCCCGATATAAAATTTATAAACATTGCATTGTGGTTTTTATTTCAAATACAAAAGCATAAAAATTTACATATTGTGACGAAATGTCATTCTTCAGCGGAAACACTTCGTTGGGTGCTACAAGCACGCCGGCTAAACGTAAGTTTATTAAGGAATCACGTTAAACCTTATAATGTGAAATTATATACAGAATTTTTTTTATCGATGTTAAGCAGCTTTTCGCAGATGCTTTAGTGTCTGATCCTTAAATGTGGGCAGCAGTAATCGCTTCGCGTCGTCTAGGCTATTACTTCGCACATCTTTTAATGCGGTCCTTAAAATAAATTACTTTGTTCAATTAAGTTTATAAACAAAAGTAACAAATAAGACCTCTTGATATGTAGTATAAAAACTACATAAATAGCCAGCAAGAGCAGTATTATCAAAACAGCAGCGAACATATTGCACTATTTCATCAACTTAGTCTATATAATTCGTTTAAAGCTTAATAATGTACTAAATGTGGTGTAAATGCTAGCTCTGTAATATTAACTGATAAGAAGCCTAACGATATCAGACGAAGTTTAATTTTATTCTAATTTGTAATCAAAGCTTAATCTGTGGTATACATGCCTTGCTTTTTATTAATCTCACCTATTTCTGAATAGCTGGTGGGTTATTTTCTACATTTGGTACTGGTTCTGCTACAGCAGCGCCAGCTTTCGGCAGCACTGCTACATCAACAACAGCCCCTACTTTTGGAACATCAGCTTTTGGTGCCACTGGTAAATTTCACTAGTTCTATAAAAATATTACAAATAAAAAATTTTACGCGTAGGGTTTGGAACTGCGGCTACTTCATCTGCGCCATCGCTTTTTGGCGGTACATCAACTTCTACCAATGCGACGGGCTTTGGCGGTTTTGGCACTGCAACATCGGCAGCACCTTCTTTTGGTGGTTTTGGAACTACTGCTGCTACTAGTGCTCCCGGTTTTGGAGGATTCGGTGCAACATCGACAACTTCAACAGCTCCAGCTTTTGGAGGTTTTGGTACACAAACTAATGCTTTTGGAGGTTTCGGTACCGGTGCCAGTGCGTTTGGTTCAAGTAAATTTAAATAAAATATATTACAAAATTCTTTGTGATTGACTATGTTATATTTTTTCTTTTCTAGCATTCGGAAAACCCGCTGCTACGACTGTTACACCTGGATTTGGTGGTTTTAGTGGGGCCACTAATTTCATGATGGGACAGCCGCAGCAGCAAGTTCCCCAACTATCGCCAGATGAAGCTTTTGCACAGTCGATTTTTAATGTATCCATTTACGGTGATGAGCGTGACACCATTATAGCAAAATGGAATTACTTACAAGCAATGTGGGGAACTGGGAAATCTTTTTATTCTCAAAATGCAGTACCTGTGGAAATTACTCCACAAAACTATCTCTGTCGATTCAAAGCAATGGGTTATAGTCGACTGCCTGGAAAAGATAATAAAATGGGATTAGTCGCGTTAAATTTTAACAAACCGTTGGCTGATGTTAAGTAAGAAAAACTATAAGCTGGGAATGCATCGCGAATTATTAACTTATATTACTATTGTACTTGTATTTTTATAGGGCTCAACAGCAACAAATAGTTTCCTCTTTAAATGGTATATTTGGCAATAAACCAAATCTTGCTATAAATATCGAATCTAGTAAAGAATACGAAGAGAAAAAGTGTCAAATAGTGATATATATCGAAGAACGTCCACAAATGTCGCCAAACGAAACTAAGCGTATACTTGCCACCGATGTTTCTAATTATCTGAATCAGGCGAACGTCAAAGCACAATTAGCTAATCTAGGTATTGGCGAGGTACTGGCATTGGTATTACCCGACGAGGATCAACTGAAGGAGTATCTAGAAAATCCACCAAAGGGAGTTGATCCACGTATGTGGCGACAAGCTAAATTAGATAATCCCGATAAAACGAAATTTATACCAGTACCAATGATTGGTTTCAATGATCTGAAATGGCGCACAAAGTGTCAGGAGAGCGAAACCGAAACACATGCACTTTACTTGAAGAAAGTGGAGAAGGACTTAGCTGAGTTGAGACAACGTCACGTGGCAGCAACAGCAAAGATAATGGAACACAAGCGAAAGTTGGCAGAATTAAGTCACAATATATTAAAAGTAATATTCATGTTGTATTTTAATTAGTAACTTGCTTGTCGTTTAATTTTTTTATTCCTTTATTTTTAAGATTATTGTGAAACAAGAGTGTACACGCAAAATCGGACTGGCGTTGACGCCAGAGGAGGAAGCGCTACGAACAAAGTTGGAGAATATGCAAGCTTTAGTTTCAGCACCGACACAATTCAAGGCATGTACTTTTTGTTGTGCTCTGTCCTCTTTATATATTTTATTTAAATTTTTAAAATTTCAATTTTAAAGGGACGTCTCAGCGAATTGTTATCACAAATGCGTATGCAACGTAATCAGTATGCGTTCACCGGTGGAAGTGAATATGCTATAGATAAAGATAGTGAAGAGGAAATGAAAACATTTTTAGCCATGCAGCAGAAGGCAATGGAGGTGCTGACCGATACTGTGACAAAGGACTTGAAATCATTAAAAATCATCCTAGAAGGTATGCCGGAATTAGTACGTGTTTAATAGCACACAATGTAAAATTAAACAGTTTTTACTAAATATACATATTTGAAGTAAGTAAAATAAAATTTGAAAAGTTTTGTTGAAATTTTGCGGTAATGAAATCGAAAACTAGATATATAGATAGAGGAGATTTTGCAATAGTAAATAAAAAACAAAGCTTGATGGAATTCAGTCAGGGTGGCTAAATTTCTAAAGCATGATTTTATAGACTTTTGTTTTTATTAGCAATTTTATTCTACTATTTTCGTAATCAGAATTGGTTTTTAAGGACAACGACTAAATAATTTACACTTATATACATAAATGCAAAAGTGAGCATAGTTTTTTTTTGTAAAATTTAAATATTTCCTGCTTCAGCGCAGCTAACACGTCTTAATTGCAATGATGGTTAAAATAGCTTTGAACTTGTATTGAGATGCGAACAAGTTCAAAAATATTGCTGCAGCATTGATGACTGCAGGTGTTAGATGTCGTCACACAGCTGATGTTTATTACGGCAAAAGAAAAACACAGCTTCGTGAGCATGTCAACGTACTCATGCGAACTCGTGTGAGGAAATTTTTTGAACAGAAATTTTTATACCGAAATTACTGACCACATTTTGTTGTAAATGATAACTGTTAAAATCGGTTGCACAGCTTATTTCTTGCTTTTGTGTGTGTGAATAATCAAATATATGTACACGCTTTAGTCGCAACTTTATTCATAGCATTGCATGTCCATGTACATATATCCAATTAAGTGTGTACATATGTATGCAATGTTGTATGACTTGTTTTTCTGCATCGACTAGCGCCAGTCAAACAATTGCAGCTTAGTTTTGCTTCGTGTACAAATACTCGACAATAAGGTCCAGTTTTCACAAGCTTTTTCGTCGCTGGGTTTTGTTGTATTCGATGGCAAATTATGCTGGTGTTACATTAACATCATTACGATTACTTGTTAAATTAATTGATGTTGCATGGGAGTAGTTGGCGTACCACCTTTTATAAAATGAATAGTTTTTAGTGTATTTTTCTATGTTTTTATGTTGTTTGTATACTTTCTGTCTCACAACAGTTATGTGATTTAAATTACACTTTAAAAACTGTTCACAGAAAGCTATGCAATCAACGGTGCGGAGCTCCACTTCAATGTGGGTAGGAACGCGCTATTTACTAGATTTCCCGGTTTGTTTGTGGACGGGTTTGAAACGAAATTGAGTTACTCGCGCTGCAGACGACTTCCGAGCTTCCGTTTATGGTCGTTGTAGCAAACATTAGGCACACATATTCATATACTCACACATGTGGCTAACTACCCCAATTGCTTTCTTTTCTGTTGCGAAGCTTTTGCTATGATATAAATGGCATTGTGCACCAACTGGAGGTTTATTTAACGCTTTGACGTCAATGTGCATTACGAGTTACCAAGCAAAAAATTGCTACGAACATAATATTTAATTTCCTTTAAAAGGTGCAAACGCATTGAAAATGGCTAGAAGTGCGTTTTATGTGAGTGTGATCTTCTTAGAATTGTATGTGCATCAGGTGTCTTTAAGATTTTCCATTTAGTTCTCATGGTTAGCGGTGGTTAGTATCGCCGCAACAGCACCTTCGACACATATTGACCGAGCAAGGCCATCGCAAGTGGGAAAAAGTGTCGCTACAATTACACCCAAATATTCAGCGGAGGATTTGCAATTAATGCAACCACATTATATCACACTTGAAGATTTCGAGTCATTGCTTCGTCGGGCTGGTGAACTCTTTCGACCGAATGCGTATCTCGTAGATGATATCACAACAACTTCGGCACAACAGCATCATGAAACAAAGCCTGCCGTTACGCCTGCGAGCGTGTCCGCTCCCTATCAGCAAATTCAAGCGCCTGCAGTGCAGCCGTTTAACTTCTACATGCCACTATTCGAGTATGAACACGGTAAATTGGATATGAAAAGTAAACAAATGGAGTATATTGTTCCACCACCTGCACCCAGCAAGAGGGCCGATCCAATTAATTACTACGCCGCAAAACCAAAAAAGTTACCGAAAAAATTTAACGCGGGCACTAAACAAGTTAACTTAAAATGGTTAAATACTTTCGAAAAGGAAGCTTTAACCGATGTTAACGGCCAGTTGCCAAAAGCAGTTTATTTAGTGAATGATGAACGTAACCGTATTAATTTTGATGACTCTTTCTTTGGCGTTGACATGCAAGTTAAAATTCCAAATAACCAACCACACAAGGAATACCCCAACTATAGTGCGGGTGCACGACCACAAGATGAATTTCTTAACCAGGGCGAAGATGGTGGTGAGGATGATTTGATGGCAGCCGCCGCGGGGCAGATGGAAGAAACCGTTACACATGTCTAGTATAAATATTTAGTCTTAATTTATTGGTTACACTTTTTCTATTTATGTACATATGCATACATATTTTTATATGCTGTAAATATTACCTAAGAGTGTTTGTGGGATCTTATAGCTAATAAAATCTGTGAAATCCGCAAACCTTTGAGTTAACTTGATTTTGAAGGTAACTATAAACAGATTACTACATTCTCGTGTTGTAGAATTTTCTATCCTAATAGATATTAGATACGACTTTATATACGTGCATATGTATAAAAATTAGTCGCTCATATATTTAATAATTTTTTTTTTAATATAAAATTGCTCAATATCAAAATGTTTATTAATCGGAACCACTTTGCGAATTGGTGATATGCCCGTTAACAGTTTCTACTATTTTATCTAATAAACCAGATGCACCAAAGCGAAAAAGACTGGGTTGCAACCAACGTGGACCTAAAGTTTCTTTTACGAGAGTTAGCCATGCAATCGCATCGGGCACAGTGCGTACACCACCGGCTGGTTTTAGACCAACTAGAATGCCCTTTCGGCGTTCGAATTCTTGAATAGCATATATCATAGCCAAACCAGCTGGTAGAGTGGCATTAACAGCTTCCTTTCCAGTAGATGTTTTTATAAAATCAGCTCCAGCTAGCATACAGGCAATGGACGCTTTGTAAACCTGTGTAAATAATTGTAAACTATTAATAATATTGAATAATATGGAAGAAGTAGTGTTTACGTTCTCCATGTTGCCAAGTTCACCGATAGCGAGTATGGTTTTCAAATGCGCTTCTTCGCCGCAAGCCTTTCGCATTTCGCACACTTCACTGTAAACACCTCTCCAATCACCCACAAGTGCTAATTGACGATTGATTACGATGTCAATCTCGGTGGCTCCGGACTCCATAGCAAATTGGATTTCGTTTAAGCGGGTGTCCAAGCCATACTGCCCAGCCGGAAAACCTGTTGCCACAGATGCTATTGGTATTTCATTGTACTTATTTAATTGCTTCAATTTGGCTGCTGCATTCGCGACACGAGCTGGATATACACATACGGCAGCAGTGTGTAAATGCGGCAGAAGTGCCGGTTCAACTCCAAGTTCTAACAAAACATGCTCTGGTATAGGAAATGCAGCACGCTGGCAAAGACTTCGCACGTTTGCTGCCGTATCATGGCCTCCCAACGTTGTCGAGTCCGTTAAAGTTAACGCTTTTAATGCCCAAACTACCTGATTAAGACCTGTTACACTGCCTCGTTTGGAAATTTCTACAGCGATTTTCTCCAATTGGCGATTTGATATTGCACAATCCAGAAGAGAGGCATCTAAAATTGTTAATCAATTAATTATTTTTCAAAATAATATTCACTTACACCTTGTACATACCAAAGGGTAAAATTTTATTAACTTTCATATTTAATTTTTCGTCGGATATAAACACGAATTGATAACAAATTGGTCGACAATTGATAAACAATTCCCATTGGAATCTGGAAAAAGTCAGCTGTCATTTGTGCATGCTACATCGGGTAATATAGAGTTTTAGTGCATATAATTTGGTATGTATATCAGTATCAGTATTAATCATCTATATCGTTTATAGTATAATCACAATTTTGTACTTTTCGTTGGAGTCAAAAATTATTGAAGTAAACCATTGTTTTAAATTTTTCTATGAAATACGTTCTCTGGTTATAGGTAACCAGGGGCGCCATCTAGGTGTTGACGTAGGCACTTATTTTGAATTTTTGAAGAGTTATAGTTCCGGTACGGTGCAGGAAGTGCATAACAAAAAATTATATAATTCAAATTCGATTATAACATTAAAAAGTTGTTATCAGAAACTAGACTATGGTCCGCAGTCCTATAACCACGTTAGGCCAATGTACAATGATCTGATATTCTGTCTATTGTAAACAGTTTATATTAAATGGGGAAATAGTTTTAGAACAATTTTGTTCCAAGAGTTGAAAGAAATAGTTACGCCGTGTGCATGTCCGACATACGTTGATATTCTAGACAATGTACGAGTCGTACAAACTTTTTACTGATGAAAGCTGTATAGTGGGTATGATGGACATTTGTACTCTGAACAGGGTATATTAAATCCGCCACGAAGATCTATGTCTGACTGTATACACGCGAACTAGTCAGCTTTTGAGATATCACTTTGAACTTTTGCACGCGTCCTTTTCTCCTTAGGAAGCTGCTCATTTGTCGGAACCGATATCGGACCACTATAGCACATAGCTGCCATACAAACGGAGAAAATATTTTAAAAATTATTCAAATTAGTTTCACAAATTAATTGCTGGAGTAAAGTTGCATTTTGAAATAAAAAATTTATATCTTGTGCTCGATATTTGTAAGCTACATGTCATATTGCTTTTTTTTTAACATTGTTACGACTTCCATGATTAGTATATATTGTCTAGTTTATAACTAGTTGTTAAACATTTTGCTTCATAATACTACTATTAAACTTTGCTTGACAGAATAATAATTTTAAGTCCCAAAATATCGATGAAAATACTCAAAATATTTCATGTTTGTATAACATTTTTTGAAAGCACAATAATATATATATATGAAGCATTATCTAGTTAAAGTTAACTTAAGACAGTAAACTAATTTTTTATAAGAGTACACAGGGCATATAATTTTGAGTTTGTTGAAAAAACTTTTAACCCTTGCGTACTTTTTTTTGTTTTGCATAAGAGTTGTGGTCGACAAATTTTGTACAAATTTGTTTACATGCTTTGCGATTTTTTATAATAAATTTAAGTTAAGTACAAATGAACACTGACCAAATTGCATGTTGGGCGAACGGTATACAAAACTTTTAACGGTGTTTAGCCCATTGTTCCCAATATTCCTTCTTTTGCATTTCAAACAACCGAGAAATTGTGCGGTCAAAAGCGAAAGCTTCTTCGTCCCCTGTGAAATAGTTAGCCGCTGACTCATTCTAAAATGTGTGCGAAGAGAAAACATGTAATTTAAAGAATTTAGTTAAAAACAAAATCAATAATTACGCACAGAACCCTGTTTAATGTTTAAATCATCCATTAACGTTCGCTCAGAGTCCGCCAGTCCAGTGGGCTTGTCTGTGATGTCAAAAAGTATATCAAGTGGTGTTTCGGCTGAGATAACCACGCGTACGCGATTATCATAAAGCGTATCGATAAGTGTAATAAATCGTCGCATTTGAGATTTAATGAATAAATTCATTTTAGGTACGTCTCGTATCAGCACTGTATGGAAAAGTTGTGCAATTTGTAGATAATCACTACCTGCCAGTGGCTAGAGAAAACAAATGATGATATGAAATAGAGTTCAAATATTTTATGCATTTTTTGAACTTACACGATCACAAAGCTCTTCAAAAGTGCTGTCTAAAACACGGCCGCAAGTTTTCTGGAAAGTCAGATCTCGTCCAAAATGTGTTATGGTACGCGGACGCACAATATCGTTTTCCTGAGTACATAGAATTTTGAACATTCGTTCCATTTCGGCGTTAGCATTTGTCTTTGACTTACTATAATGAAAAATTATAATAAAAAAAATTAAATATTGTAAATAGCTTGAATAATACTGAAGCTGTTTTCAGATTTTGAATAATAATTTTCAGTGTTTATATGTACGTACACGAAATAATTTGTATCACCCGATTGAGCAATGCGGCGGTAGTCAATGCCGCTATTCAGTTCGCTAACTTTACAGCGAAATTGTAATATATCGATAAAGGGCAAAAAATTGCTACGTTGCAATCCATTTTTGTACAATTCTTGGGGATGACGATTACTTGTCGCCACCATAACAAGACCGTCATTGAAAAGATGCGTGAAGAGGCGTTTAAGTATCATAGCATCTGCTATATCAGTTACTTGGAATTCATCGAAACAAATGAGCCATGATTCAGATAGTATTTGGTCTGCTACTGGACGTGTTGGGTCATATGGTGTTGGATTTTCCGTGTTAAATGCTCTATCACTTGGTCCACGTTGCTGTTTAGTTGCGTGTATGCGTTTGTGAACGTCCGTCATGAATGAATTGAAATGGACTCTTTGCTTTTGTTGTATCTATTGTGGAAAATAACATAAGTAAATTATACCTACTTGGAAAAGTTTAATAGAAATTTAGAAAGTGTAAACATACATCTGTACAAGCATCAAAAAACATATCCATGAGTGTAGTTTTTCCGCCGCCAACACTGCCGAAAATATATAGTCCTTGTGGAATCTCGGAACCGACATTTAGCTCAACGCCATTTCTGTTTCTGTCACCTCTAAACAGAGAGCCAAAAAAACCACCACCACCACCCCTACTTCTATCAACTGGTTTATAATTCTGGAGACTGCTGTAAAGTGCTTCTAAACGCTCCGTCGTTGCCTTTTGCTCCTTATCCGGTAACAATTCCTTGTTGGCAACGCGTCTATTGTAAACAGACAACGGGCTTATATATCGTATTTGTGAGTGGCATTGTGGCTGTAGTGCCAGGAGCAATTGTTCACAATCAGCCCAAAGCTTTAAACGTGTATTCACGCATACCGTTTTTAACATCTTACACAAAAGTTCTGCAATATTTACGCTCCGCACGCAATGGTTAAAATACAGTAAATTTAAATAGCACCGAAAGTTAATTTGCTTAAAATTTTAATTGAAACTACTTTGTCATCTTATCATTGTTATGTAAAAGTTTTGCCAACGTATGCGTGCGTGTGACAAGATCAAGTGCGAGGCCAGAAAAAAATTCCAATCCGTAGCGACGAGCGCTAATTTTGGTGCCAAAAGATATACCAGTTCAGCTGATAATCAGCTCAGCTGTTAATCAGCTGTTTTGCACCTGTGTCGAGTGGGGTTGCTGTGCAGCGTTAAGTGTTTGGGTAAAACAAAATTTAAAATATTTTGAAAAAGTATTTTATTCTATAGATATATTATATATAACATTTTAAAAGTATACAATAGCTATTGTATTATTGTATACATATTTCTGTAAAACTTTTTTAATTTCTAAATGCTGTGTGGCTTTACTAGTCAAATGAGGTGCAAAAATAAATACTTTAAATAAAAATAAAAAAACTACAACATGCTTAGGATATAAAAAGGTTAGTTTACCCTAAACAAAGTAAAAAAAATTGTTCAAGATAAAAACTAAAAACTTGGTTATTTGAATTTTTCACATAAATTTTCAGTTTATGCGAAAAAGGTGTCAATACAAATGTTGTGGATCTTCTTATTAACTACAGCTGTGTCATATAACTTTTTTCTAAGAGACTCGTAATTTCGCCGGATATTGAGCTAAACCGTTTTTACGCTCTCCTCTTCCTCTTTCCCACCTCAGATCGACCGTAAATTATTTTTCCTACTATGCTTTTGTTTTGTTTTTTTGGTGTATGATGCACAAAAGTTTTTGATACTTTTAGAAATAGTTTAATTCTATTAAATATAATGAATGGAATATTATTACGTAATTTAGTGAACAATGTTAAATTTTCACCAATAAATATAATAATAAATATACATTTTAGTCATTTAGGATTTAAGGTTAGACCAGTAAATAGTGGGTATCAGTGTATGCATCCGGTCATGATTGCGAATACCGCTCCCATAGATAGTACGTAGGCAAAGTGTGCTACTACATAGTATGCGTCGTGTAGGATGATATCTACAGAAGAATTAGCTGTTATTCCTCCTACTGTAAATACGAATGGTCTATATCTACAAGAACAAGTATATTACAAAAGAGAGTACCTAATTATAAAATGAGTTGAATAGGGCTATCAACTCATAAAAATGGCTTAACCCCTATCGTTAAAAGAAGAACCTAACATATATATAATTAACTAATTTAGTCTATTTATAAAAAACACTTATATATTTCTGTTTCAAGAATATTTCAGCTTTAGAAAATTTAATATTATCAAACTCGATATCATTACAAAATTCCAATTCAACATATTTGACGCATTTATGGCTTCGTATTCTGTAAAATTCTCTAGTTTCGCTATTGCACCTTTCGGTTTAGGGGTGCCCGTATGCCGCGTGGGGGTAGGTGGTAGCGGGAAGCAATATATCCGTTCCACTTCCAGTACCTCTACCTGGTTTAACTGCTCAAGTACGGTAAGAGGTACACAAATAGTGGGGTTCTCGACAGAGCTTTGTTTCTCGTATGGTACACCAACTTTCGTTATGTTGAGCGAAATCTGCGGTAACAGCGAATTCGGCAAGTTTAAACCATTCAATGATTCTCTCATTTCATCAGAATTGGCAGCAGAAAGTCTATTACTTATAGTAGGTGTAAAGTTCTGCTTGCTGTTCTTTTCCACAGAAACAATGAAATCTATTGGCCACACCTTACTAGCATCTAATGTCAAGTTTTCCGTTTCCACTTCCGCCGCACTCTCAGTTTCAATGCCGACTTCTTGAGTAGTATCTACACTTTGTTGCTGCCATATGGATTTTTTGGGTTTGTGTGTGTATGCTGCAATTCCTCCAAACGATTCATTTATCTGTTTCGCCATATCCAGGAGCTTCGGGTCTGACATATTGACGTTGATGAACTTATTCGGCCCTGTGGTGGTATGAGGTGCGCGGGTTCCGGCAACCCGCCTACTTCCATTTTTCAGAAACAATGTTACATCACCATCCTCTGTTGGCGCGTTTACGATCGGATGCTGAAAACCGAGTTTTTCGAATGCTGTAGGAGCTGTAAAATTATATAATTGTAGTTTCGAAGCAATTTGTTTTGTGTGCCACTCACGTTGTTCTTTACGATTTTGAACTTCTGGTGCTGTTGTAGTAGCAGGTCTGATGGGCGTTTGCATTTCATTAGGTCCCAATGGCCGTTCTGGCTTCCAAGTACCATACACAATCGACTCCAGCAATGGTCCCTCGAGGTTTTGCTCTTGCGGCGCCGCATCCATGCGATCTTGCAGCACGACAAGTGGCGGCTGCGCCAGTGGTGTCGGCGGTGGCATTGTAATGCGGTGAGTTGGCGCGTTGGCAGCACCAACTATTGGTTTCCAGCCGTCGAACGGACTACTAGGTGCCGGGGTTGCAAAGGGTAGAAGCATTGGTCTGAAGGGTGGCGCTTGTGGCCGGAAGCCTTTTGGCAAAGCTATAGCCATGCGCGCCGCGTCGGTCTCCGTGGAACCACTGTTTCTGCTCCTTGGTGGATAATCCGCTGCGTTCGCTACTTGTGTCTCACAACAGTATGTGACAACTAACAGGGTGTGCAAAAAATAGTAGTTTTTGTTTTTTAAAAATTCACACATATTATTTATTTTGTAAGTGTTTGGGAAGGGTTGATCACTTAAATGTTAAATGCTATTAGTTGCAGGCCTGTACTCCACAAAAACGAAGAAGGTAGTCCTCTGCATTGACATGTATTTGGGTCTGCTGCTGTTTTCTGTTTATTGTTCACTGTGCCACTTTTTCGAATAGAAATTCAAATAACCTTTTGACCGTTAGCTTTTCTATTAAATCGTGCAATGCTTTTGTTTGACGCGCCGCCTTTGTATACACTTTTTTATCTTGTTTCGTATTGTTGTTTTTTTGTTGGCTACGCTTCTTCTAACGGCTGTCAACGTACTGACATGCTGGCTTTATGCTTTGTTGTAATGCTTTGGTCGCAGAAGCGTCATAATTTACCACGAGCGGTCATAAATAACAAATCGCTATGTTTCGCACAATCTACCTGCAACAACAAACCGATGTGTACGTGTAATTATTACATATATGTATGTATATAGGTGTGAATTTTAATGTTGTCTATTCTCCGCCCGATTCTTTGGTGTTCTCCGCGTATGTTGTATGGACCGTACCGTTTCGCTTAAGCTGACCAACTGAAGCGCGTCCATAATTTGGCCCAACATCGATGCTGGCGGTGCTCTGTGATGGCCGCCTCATACGTTGGTTTTGCTTCTAAGCCGCGTTATTGAATTCTTAAGCACATACATACATACCTAAGTAAATGCTTTTGTTATAACAATGTTTTTTACTACCAAATTAATTATTTACCAGCACGAAGAAGTTTCGCGGTGGTTTTTTCACTTTTCACAATTTCTAATTCATAATTTCTTTTATTATATATTAGGTGTGTACGTTGGACTAAGGCGAATGCTTTGTGCGAAGCGTTTCTATAAGTAAAGCATTGGAGTACGTGGGCTTGACGTGGTTGAATTCGTCATATCTATAGCTAAAGTGGCCTTTGTGACACACATTAAAGGTAAAAATATGATTAAGAACTTAAGTGTGAAGTTTTCGTTTTATTTGTCAACGAAAATCGGCCAAGTTGCTCGATTTTGTGTCTATTTATAATGCCAAGAGGCATAAGAATACTTATACTTCAACTGCTCGTCACCACCAATTCTCTTTATATCATTTTCGTGATTGAAGCACATTATTCCAGTCGTGTATAATATAATTGTACAGAAGCACAAAATTGATCTTATGATAATATCTTTTCACTGTCGCTATGAGCTTCTAAGAGGTTTTGACCGACCCCTCAATAGCTCTTCAGCCGTTTCTTACCTCCGTCCTCAGCAGATCTCCCTCTATCATTACCAATTGAAATTATTGAAAGCTGGAGTGTGTGCATACATTCAGACTTTTAATCATAATCAACGGATTCGCTTTATGCTTACTGCTTTTTCCATTTTGTGGACCTTTATCGTATCATTTTGGGTCTATAATTATACTCGTTCGTTTTTTTTTTTAATTTTGATGTTCATTTATTGCTCATCTGCTTGTGTGACAACTAAATACTCTACGATTTCTTCTTGTGTTGGCACCATTATTCATCGAGTAATGCTCCCAGTTCTTCGTCTTCGAACTTTTTTATCCGCCCAGAATGTTCTTCGTCTTACAAGCCAAAACCACTAACTTTTCGCACGTTCGCTACAGCATATTCACCATAAACTTCCACCAAAATTCGATAAATTTCGGCCATATATGCTCCAAGTCTTGAAACTTACAGACAGCGAAAAATTAAAATAATTTTTTTGAGCATAGGCTTCAATTATTCGATGCTTTCATGCGATATTTAGTATCTTACTTCTTGGATGGTTGTTCAGCACGTAGAATAAGCTTTTGATACACGTTCTCTCTCGACTTCCATCGCATGTTTAAATAGTAATCGGCTATAAATCACCAAGCGAGCAAGTGAATTCGAGACCCACACCAAGGCGAAATTGCAATTCAATGTCTTGGATTTGAAGCATGTAGAAGAGGTATCTTCATAAATTACACAAAGATCGAGAGTTGCCAATTCGCTTTTCTCATTCTTACAGGAAGATGTGCCGTTCTTAAAATCTTCTTCTAATAAAATGAATGATAAAAAAAACATGAAAAGAAAAGAATCCACAAAATGATTATTGTCACCGTGAAACAAAGTAGATCGAAAGCCATTCGCAAATAGAAAACAGTAACAAAATTGTAGGAGTGGGTTTCGAACTACTTCTGCATTCACAGTGCTCCCCTGATCTGGTCTCCAGTTTCTTTTATATACTCTTAGACTTTTAGAGAATGGTCACCGAAAGGAATTTAGCGGCATTCATATAGTGATCTCCAAGAGCGATAAGGTGGAGTTACAACAATGAATTTGAAACATTTGTTTCGAACAATGCCACATGGATGTCTCCACAACAAAACATTCAATTTGCTATAATTTATTCAAGCAACATTTTTGTACGATTGTCAAACGAAATCAAAATCTTATACATTAAGAAGAAAACAATTCTGACTTATACTTTTTTATATTTTTGGGTTTTCTATATTTTGCTTCGGAAATGCAAAAGGGTCTTACATTCATTACGGGCAGTCAATTTCTTGGTAGTTACAACAATGCGATACATTGTATGGAGGGGTATGGAAAGTATATGTATCCAGATGGCAGTCAATACAGAGGAAGTTTTAAAAAAGGGAAATTTCACGGTATCGGAGAGATCACTTTAACTAAACCATTCAATTTTAAATTTGTTGGCGAATTTGACGACGGAAAATTGATAAAGTTGCAGGAAATGACATATCATGATGGACTGCACTTAAATGCCAAATTTAAAGATAAAAAATTAAATTTCGACGAATGGAAATATTGTACAGAGGAAGATCGACGCACTTCTTGGGAAATTATCAACGGTTTGGGACCAAGCGGACAGCATACGATCATGACTAATCTCGAACCGGGCACATATGATGTCGGTGGTGGTATCTACAAAGAGAATACTGGTTGGGTAGTACGAATTCCGCCACCATTCTTTTCGGTGAAATTTTTATCATGTAATAAAGAAAGAGAATGGATCCAAAAGAATTGTCGCAAAGGTCCCTGGGACAGAGACGTTAATTATCCATTGGTGGAACCCATACCAGAAATTGGCAAAAAAATTATCAATGCCAATATCAAAGAACTGCATATACTACATAGTTGTGCTTGTGATACAAGGTACGAACATAAAACTCGTGCCGAGAAATCGTCGGAAGGTGATGAAAGTGCACCCACAGACTTTCCGACATCGAAATCCAGTAGTCTATCGAGTTTTTGTGATGAATTAATAAAGATCGATCTTCGCGAAATGTGCTACAACGAGGAAAGAACACTGAAATATGCTTTACCTGATAGAAGGTCGAAAATATATTTCTCTCTGCCCAATCAATTTTTTACGTCTCCACCTCATGATTTTACAAATGCTTAAATAAATACTTTAATCCCATTTTAAACATTATCAAATTCAATGCAAGTTGCATTTCTCTAAAGATCTCTTATGGCTAAATATGTATGTGTGTACGTTTTCCTGCATAAATTTTCGTAGAGTAATAATTATTAGCAAGTATATTATTTGTACATATACATATGTATGGCGTTGTAATGCAAAAAAAAAACTTAATATTACCTACATATAGGCAGAATAATAGCTCATACCATTGTATATATATTTTTTATCGATAACTTGACATATACGCAGCACAATAAAAAATATCATTTAAAGAGTTTTGCATCTCATATAAAATTTGTTTTAAAATTATTAACGAAGACATTTAATACACTTATGCATATACAAATCTATATATATAAATATACATACCGACGAGTGCGGTTTGATAAGTACTTAGCCTCACTGCCCGCAATTATCACAAGAGAATTTTAATATCGTTTAGTACTTTCTGGTATTCGGACTCGGTAAAGGCTTCGGATCGGATCCCTAGTTTTAGTTTTAGGAAAATAGAAAAATCTATACTGGTCGGCGATTCGATTTTTATTTTTGCAAAGGAAATTGAATATGAAAATCAAAGGATCCTATACACAGTTACTCTTTTCCTTAGATGGCGACCGTAAAAAATTGGTTGCAGCGTGGTCGCACGTCGGATTTTGATGAGTCACGGCTGAGTCGGTTGGTATCTTAAAAGACCGCGTGGATAACACCCTGCATAAAATATTGAGCAGGCTGTCGGAGCAATGGGTCTCAGTCCGGACAACAAGCGCAGTGCAGTGCTCGATATTGTTTAAGCGCAATTCGAAGGGTTTTCTACCGTTTCATGACCGTTGCCGAAACAAGGATTCACTGGTACACACCGGAGGCCCACTGACAGTCAAAACATATGTCTGCCCTCAGCGAATCTGTTCCAAAAAAGGCAAGGCCTGTCCTCGGCCGGAAATATGATGGCCAAGGACACAGTGCTTGGATGGAATAAGTGCTTCTTCACAACGCACCAATAAGAAACGTGTCTACTTAATTTCATTAAAATATTACACATTTTGACCAACCTAAATGGTTTAAAGTCAGGTGGAAAGACGGAAATCATTATATGGATGGGCTGACTGCATTCATTTTTGACATTGATCAGGCATACTTGACAGGTATACTTCAAAACATATTTTTAAACAATTTTATAAATATATACACATAAACATATAGATGGAGTAAAGTCAGCCGGATGATTCAAAATATTAAATATCAGTTATATGGGGGCTAAGGAAAGTGTTTGCCCGATTTTATCCATTTTAGGCACAAAGGTATACTCTCTCAATTGCATTTAAATAACTCCCACATTGGCCGACATATGGTATTTGGTATAAAGTCAACTGTTAGTTCGAAAATCTTTATATTAGGTATATGAAGGCTAAGGAAAGTATTGCCACGACCCATTTTTGACACAAATGTATTTTATTATCAAAGAAACATTTTCTCCGAATTTCAATTGTATATCTCAGATTAAACGATATTTTCGGGAAAAAGTCAGCAATACCTTAGCAGTATGTGAGAGCTTGAATAGTTTTATTCAAAATTTGACAATTTTTAACCTTTAGATGGCATGCGTCAGTAACACTATTTGTGCAAAGTTTTATCTTAATATATTCATAGGTTCTTGGTTTTAGGTAGTGTACTGGAAAGTGAAAGAATCATAAGGAATTTAAAATGTGCTATATGAGAAGTAGGTCTAACATAAGATCATCAGGATAATGTTACGTACCGAATTTGGTTGAAATTGGTCGAGTAGGTCGGGATGTACGTAATTTCCTGGGTGTAAAATTTAATACCTCTAGCGCACTTAATTATTGATTTATCACGCTTTTAGTAGTTCTTAACATAACGTTATAGGAAGAGGGCGGGGTTATAATCCGATTTCATCCATTTTCACACTTTTGGTAGGGATTTTTAACGGAATTGTCTTAAGCGTATTGGATTATTGTCCCCTTAGTAATTTAGAAGATATGTACATTAAACTTAATAGAGGGCGAGGCCACACCCATTTTTTTTAAGTTTTGAGCCTACAGTTGCCCACTGCTATTATAGTCCGCTGTAGCAAACTACAGTTTTATATCTTAATTTAGTGCTTAACAGTTTATAGGTTTTTGATTAATGGTGTTTGATACTATCGCCACTATGGAATCCTACTTTGCCGACCTCCAGAAAATATATATGTTTAATGCCGGAAAAATCGCCGTTTTCCCACAATTTGCATTTTTCATTTGTAGTCAGTACTTATCGGAACGCACTAGTCTGTCTTATGTTGCCATTGGATAGAGTATGCCAATGCAATTTGTGCGATTATGCAACATACAGTTACATTAGTAGAGTGCGCGAACATACATATGTAATGTCGGCCTTAGCATCGAGATAGCTTCTTTTTTTATTTTTCCACATATCTTATGTGCTTCTATGCTTTGCAAATATGTAGTATTGGTATTGTAGATATGCAAGCAATGAAGAGTAACATATTGGCATAACATAAAGCTCAATGCTTCGATTTGATGTTTGGCAGCTGTTGTCTTTGGATATTCGGTTTAGAAATGATTTAGTTTATGTTAGCAAACATTTCTAGAGAATCTGTTGTAAACTCATATGCTTGATCATTTTATCAGATTTCATCTGACTTTCTATGAAAAATTAAAAGTGTGTTGACCTTTACTAAAAATTTTCCCATGATAGATAAGGTCTACGTGATCCTTTGAAATTGCCTCTTGAGTCATTCCTTAACGCAGACGTTAACGTTTGCGGTGCGAAATTCAGCAAAAAGTTAAAAATCATTATATTGGTGCCAGAGAAGGGATGGATTGGTTACATTTACCATTGTTTTTTTTTAAATTGTTTTAATAAAGGTGTCTAAGCCCACTAGAATAACGAAAATCATTATAAGTACTACATGGGGGATACTTTCCCATTTTAACCAACAAGCTGAAGTATATCCAAGCTTATACCTTCGTTTAATTCTGCCAAAATATCTTCCATATAAATAATCATTGTATTAAGAATATATAAATAATCATATTTTGTATATGGGGGTTTGAAAAGTTCACATCTCGAAGGCATTATTAAACAACGTTCTATATTTGTTGATTGATTTATATATTATAAAGTAAAAGCGTATATATTTTTAATGTGTTTCCTCAGTGAGTTATTAAACTTTGAATAGTAAGATGGACAGTTATTATCTTATTTTATAAATTTTTAAATTTTGTTATGAAATGGTTAAAGAAATGTTTCTTGCTAGCTGTTAACCAAGCTTAAACCAATATAGCTTTAGTAGTTTGAGAAATACATTCATCAGACCTTTTAGAGTTCGCCCTCTTTTCAACAACTTTTTATCCATACGTGCCACTTCTTGGTGTTATCGTGCGTCATTAATATTAGTTTCGTAGCCTTATTAGTGATTTAGTTATAGCTGTTTATAATTTTTGTCCTAACGCAATTTTGTGGGCGTGGCAATAATTCGATTGCACTCATCGGCAATATGGACCTCTTCATAGCGCCGAGGAACACGTGTATCAAGTTATCTCAATGTTTACTCAAGTTATCGCCTTCACGGTCTGACCACTCGGAATTCAACTCGTCGTGTCATCCTGATCATTAATATATATGTAACGGGTGATCCAAGTAGAGGTACTTTTTTCAATATCCTTTTTTTTGACCGACGCGTGAGTCGTAACAAGCAAAATTGCCGCATTTGGGACAAAGAGCAGCCTCAAGATATTTAAAAGCTGCCATTTCATCCAGAAAAAACACCGCTTTGGTATGGTTTATGGGCCGGTGGAACCATCGTTTCAGGTCTGGGAGCAAAACATGACGCGTGTCTTTCGCCAATTACCAGTCGAAATGCTCGAACGAGTCATTGAAAATTGGACTCAACGGATGGATGATCTGAGACGTAGTCGCGGCCAACATTTGAAAGAGAAAATCTTCAAAAAATAAATGCCAAAGGATGTTCTTTTGAATGATAATAAAAATTCTCCATTAAATTTGAATTTTCTGTGTTTTCTTCTTTAAAAAAGGTAGGAAACCTTGAAATGGATCACCCTTTATATAAACCTATATCTACTTCTATTAGTTTTAGATGTTACAAAAAACCATTAAATAAACAAATATATTTCTCTGTGCAATATTTCGAGAGTATAATAAATGAATAAGAAACAAAAATAATTAAAATAAATTTCGTTCAGCAGTGGTAGAACCTCAAATTTAATTACACTAAACAGTGAGCATATGAATGTTTGTGTACTTTTGGAAACGTGCTCTTCGAGTTTACTTATTGCACTTTCGGCTTTGCTCAGGGACTTGTATCATCAACAGTTTCGTTATGTTAGTATGTATAGCACGTTTGTTTGTAGGTATACTTACAGATAATTCCATAGAAGGATAGCTCTCAAACCACAGGGTAACGAAAACATATGTGTTTGACACTAATTTTAAGCAACCTAGGGTAAGTAACGGTACTTCCAATTGACCACTAATGGTCAATGCTGGAAAGAATGGAACAAAATTGTACACACACTAAAGTATTTATAAGAAACGTTCAATAAGCCGAAGACTCTGCTCACTACTACTATATGCTTTAAAAGTTCAAACCACCATGTGTACCTATAAAATACTCATTTTTATTGGAATCAAAAAAGGAATAGACGAATTGTTTGAGCTACTTATGACTTGCTTATTAAAATAGGCTCTAATTCAAACAAATAAAAATGTCTGTATAGCTATACGTTGTTACCAAAAAACTTACCTAAATGAAAAACTTTTAAGTGCCGCCCGGAACGGTTTGGTGAATGAGACCAAAAAGAGATGGCCACCGACCCCGATTTTCACAAGAAATTATGTTCAACGATGAAGCTCACTTTGGTTGAATTGGAACGTTTCTAAACAACAATTATCGCTTTTGGAGTGATGATAATTCACCAACCATTGTTGAGACGCCGTTATATCCTCAAAAAGTCACTGTTTTTTGTGCTCCATGGGCAAAGTATGATGCGTATACAGCCAATGAGGAAATCTATAGAGCCATGAATGCCTAAATTAGGGGATGTTGAGGTGGACGACCTTTAGTTCCAACAAGATGGCGCACATGCCATGCAGCCAACGAAATAATCAACTTATTGAAGAAAACCTTGGTGAGCGCATTATTTCACGTCGTGACCTTGTGACGTGGCCCGAGACGATTGACGCCTAGGAAGAGAATATTCGGCGCATTATTGCTAATATCTCGGCTGGAATTTATTCGAATCAGCCAGAATCATAAAACATAATGGCAAACCCCTATCTTTATAATAAAGATAGCCATATTCTTGGCGAGGATCTTTCTTGAAAAGCGATGAAGACGAATATGAAAATAGGCTCAACAACAATGCTTTAGTATTTCAAACACTAAAATGCACTGAGTAACTGATAAAGTAAACGTCATTTTTAAAACTGTTGGACAACAATGGTTGTAGGTTATGAATGTCTGTTGCATTGTTGCCTAATAGTTCGGATGACTGTGAAAGGTTACTAATGTCCAGAAGTATTCTTGTCTAACAGTTTTAAAGATGGCCTTTGAAAATAATTTACTTTAATATATATTTTCAAATAATGATTGTTTCTAAATGTGACTGAAAAAATCATAATATTCTCCGCATTATATTGTATTATGGAAGTAGATAAAGTCCTATACTGCATTTGTCAGTATTCGAATAAGAAAAACAATTGCGATACCTTTATTTTGAAAGGAATTTTTTTAGTCTTTCTATGTAATTGAAACGAAATTTATACATATATACAATATATACTTTGTAAACAATCTTCACTTTTATTCATATAGACTATTCTTCATTATTCTTTAGTTATTTAGGTACAAGTAATATGTGTACATGGTTTATGCATTATTATACATGTATGATTTTTAAAAAAATATTATCAAATTTTATTTTCCAAAATTTCTAATTTTATGTAAACCACACCGCGAATATTTTATATATCCGAATTCTTACGATTTTACTTGATATATGTATGTATTCAAAGTTTCACAATCCAAATTTTTCTTTAAGTTAATGCCACCGATCCACTCGCAGCAAATCACAGTCTTTGTTCTTTATAAAAGCGCCACAACCGCTTACGAATTTCGTTATAAATTTAAATATCTTAAAACCGATTTTTAGCTCGCCCAATAAAACAATAGATTTGCGACTGGCACACTTAAGCATTTTCCAATGGCCCTATATATTGACCATTCTTATTTGCCAAACGACGCTCTTCCAGTTTCCTGGCAAAATCAGGATCGCTCTTAGCACGCTGCTCCAGACGTTCCTGTTGCAATTTTATACCTGCATAGATCTGATCCAAACCCTTTTGTATTTCGTCCGGTATGGCGGGTGGTGTGGGTATGTGATCGCCAGTCGCGCGAAAACCATTCTCATCGGCAGTATACTGTACGTTAACGACATCACCCTCGGGCGATTGGTAAGAGTATTGACCATGCTGCACTAGCACGCCATTGGGGTTTGTTTCTGAGAAATCCTTCAGAAAACCGGTCTCTTCATGCACAATATTATTACCGGTTTCATATTCGGTCTTATAGCTGCCATCTTCACTTTGTTCTTTATTATACTTGAGTATCGGTATCCAAGTGGTGCTTTCGCGGTGCTGATCCCGATGATCGGAAACCTTTTCGTCGCGCGGTATGTTATTTTGGTTCGGGTGACCGTGATGATGTTGCGACTGACAGGATGTGACTGCAAGGAATAGGCCAATGGCGCACATCAACAACTAATGGCGAATGGGGAGGAGGCGAATGAACGAAGAAGAAAAAGTAAATGAAAAATTAAATATAGTTTTTCAAAACCTCGGAAAAAAAATTATTTGAATTTAGAGTTTGCAACATATTTTAAATTATTTCTTCGTGTTTGCTTTTAAACGACTTACAAATGTGTTCATTTTCTGTAAATACTTTTAGAATCAGAAAGGAAGTATATAAAACGGGAAGAGGATGTGAGTTTCTTTCCTCGTCTTCACGATTTTTCTAAATTTATACTAAAATTTCTTGTTAGTAATCACGTTCTCAACACCTAAGCTGCGCGAATGTTTTCAAAACGTGAATTTTCGAAATTTTCGAGTGAGTGAAAGCGGGTTTGAAAAAAGACTGCGCACCAGCGGGCCCTATGTAAGCTATTTATAGCAGCGTGATTGAGACTCCTAAAGTCGAGCGCATACACCAACACACGAATAGCGACACTCATTCATCCGCCGCCACGCACACACCTGCACTTTGCTGTGCAGCGCGTTGGCTGAGCTTTTAGCTTTTAAGCATTGTATGCATCGTCTGCCCGCCTTTTTTGTGAGTTTCTTTGAATGCAATTTTGGCGCGTATTGGTAGCTATACTCACAAACACACACACACATATATATATATATATATATATATATACATACATATGCATATTTGCTTTACTTGCACATTTTTTGCTGCAGATTTATTCATTGGCGCTTCGCTTTGTTGCTGGTCGACTGCAATTCATCGTTATCGCGGCGCAGCCAAATGAAGTATGCAGTTGGTAATTGTTGTTTGGCCGTCGCATCCATTTTTAAGAGCAAAACGATAGTTGTCGTTGGATTTAGGAGCTGATTACAGAATATTTAGGAGTTGTTTTATGGTAACAGAAAATTTTATTTGATATTTTTTTTATAAAAAATATTGATTCAGACAATTTTACAATATTGATTTTTTTTTCAAAAATAATGATTCAAAAAGTATATGTCAGACCCAACCGGTCCACGCTCCAAAATCGGAACTTTAATTCAAATTCGGAAGAATTTACAATATTAAAAATATGTTAAAGGGAAAACATTTCCATTTATTTAACTTACTTACAAATTGATTTTACCATAAAGAACTCAAAACTACACAGAACACGAAAGAACTTAAGAATATTAAGAAAAATTCACACAAACTTATTTAATTACTTCGTACACATATGAATATATTTTTATGTGTATCCATTTAATTTAATTTTTTAAAGAAAAAAAAATTAAAACTCAATCGAGCCGCGGAGCTAGCCTCTAATGTATTAGCAGGCAATTCCAGGGTTAACATCTACTCGCACAGCCATGCAGCAGGCAAGCGAATAATTTCGTTTCGCATATCGGCCATAAGTGTCTTCGGTAGCAGAATGGCAGTGGAGAATGCCGCCAGGAACAAGGGACTTTCCACGGGGGGCCAGGTCACATAGGCATCGAGGGCAATGAGATAGTGAACAAAATTACTAAGGATAGTGTATAGATGTCACGTGACCGACATTGTCTATGGGACGATTTGGACAGTAGAATGGAAAGAAAGATTTAAACGCGATGAAATGATCTACTGGGATGCAAAACTGCAAAAGTCATATATAAAGTGGTAGATCAGAGAAATACAAAGTTCCCTCCGGTACTCGATAGAAGGGACTGTATGAACATGATTGAAATACTCACTGGTCACACTCTGGTGGAGACGGACATCTGCAGAATGGGGCTGGATGCCACGGTATTAAATACCGGAAGAGGTATCGTTAGATAGGCCACAGAGCCTGTTGAAATTTGCGTCAAGCGCAGGCATCTTAGAGGATGACTAATTCTCATGGACACTCCATCTGGTATCGCTAAGTACCAACACTGGTCTATGCGTGGCTCATCAGCTTACCAGACTAACCTAACCTAACCTAATAATCTGTAAAAATCAGGTTTAAAGGTGAGACATTTAATAAATACTAAGTGAGAGGCTCCAGGGTCCGATACAAATATTTACATTTTTAAAGCTCTTTTAATTCAGACCCAACGCAGTGTATATCGACCGGATAAAATTTGTTATAGCAACCTCCTTATATTTACCGCTTCACTTCGTAATCTGACTTTTAACATATCGCCAAATGCTGGCGGTCGATCGTTCGTTCATTCGACCGTCTGGTGTCTCTATCGGTGTATGGTATGTATCCAACATGTGAGAGTCTTCTGTTGATTGACCGGCTGTGCATCGGTGTAATGCCGTTATTTTTTCGCGAACAAGAGTGAAACTGGTCTTTTGTTTGTTTTTTTATACAAAATTTTTGCTTTTGAAACAGCAACTAGTTGTGGCAAAGTGGATGCCATCTATGTTGAACCAAATTAACTGCATTACAAGTACGTGTGCATGTGCTTTGCAGCTTTTTAAGCTTTTCACACAATTATCAACACATACATATATGTACATACATACATGAGTGTACGACTGTGAATAAGGTGGTGTGCGAATGCAAGCGTAATGAAGAAGATGCTGCATTACTGAGCAGATACTTGTGCAAGTACATGTGAATATATAAGCAAACATACATGTGCACATGAGTGCAGATACACATGCATGCATGCAAAATTGCAGATGTTGAATGTTGAGATGTTTTAATTTATTTGATTTCGCAGGCCGCTTTAAGGTGCGGGTAGCCTACGCTGTTGTCGGCTTTTGCAATAGTTTCTTTTCAATAATTCTTATTTTAGTTTTAAATTTTGCAAGCAACTAGTTGAAAAAATAACAAAAATGAAGAAATAAAATATGTTGCAGTTTTGGAAAAAAATCACACCGCCGTTTTTCAGTTGACATCGAATGCATAACTTAGGCGGATTTCGGTGTGGCTCACCATTGAAGATTAATTTATGATTATACGAATATTTTTATACTTAAAAATTAGAGGAAACGAATTATACGAATAAAAACTTGCATAAATAACAAAAAACCCATCAATTAGTTATTTTCATAGCTAACTCAGTGATTTGCATTTTTAATGCCATCAAAGCCTTGCTAATTTTTGGGCTTTTTATGTCAGAGGTGCTGCGCTTTTGATTGACAAACGACAACTTGAGCACCGATGACTTGAGCACCACTTTTGTTGACCATTGCGATAATTGCTTTTGGTGCAAAACAGGGTGCATTGACACTTTTTGATTGATGTTGGTATCGTAAAGTTACAGTTAGGCAGGGTTACATACGATTATAATGAAATACAAAATCATCTCTTACTTAAATGTAACTTAAGAAGTTATTTATTTAATTTAACTTTAAAAATACAAATTATTAAATGAAATACGGACTTTATGATCTAAGCATGGCAAGGTTCAAATAAATAGTATTGATTTCGTAAATAACAGCTGAACTTTTGCTTGGGACATTAAATGCTTCACACCTTTATATCATAATTTTTTTCATAAATATTCTTCGAAAACATCTCGACCTCATTTATAAAATATATGCGAGAGGGTTATTTTTCTTTTTTTTATCAAAAGAGTCGAGTGTAAAAATAATTAATTAAAATATCCCATAGAAATTGTTCGCAAGGACTATGGAATGGCAGCAATCTCTCCTTGTTAAATTCTTGTTTGAAAACATATGATGAAATTAAATTTGAGTCAATATTTGAAAATGTCAAAAATAATACACATAAAAGCTATTTTCAGAAAAAACTAATCTAAAATAATCATCTTAATAAAACTAAATCAAACAAAATATTAGGTTTAGTAAAAAAATGCATTATTTTTCCAATAGATGTCTCTAATAACCTGTATCTCGAGTTGTTTACGAATAGTGGTGTTAAATAGATAAGATTTCTAAAATAGCAACTCAGACAAGTGGCTTAATATATAAATAGTGCAAACGGTGGCTAAGCCAGAATTAACGGTCAGGATGGTTTTGCTATGTGTTCGGTAGGATTGGAAAGGAATCATCTATTATGAGCTGCTCCTTCACGGCTTAACCCTTCTTCCGGATCTGTATTGTCAGTAATTAGACCGTCTGAAGTTAGTAATCGCCCATAAGTGGCCAGCTTTGACCAATAGGAGAGGAATTGTACTCCATCAGGCAAACGCCAGGGCGCACACATCGATAGGGACTCACCAGAAGATCTGAGAGCTTTGTTGGGATAATCTTATGCATTCTCCTTATATCTTAGACCTGGCGTCTAGTTATTAATATCTGTTGCTGTTCATTGCGTATAATTGTGCTGGTGAAAAATTCGTCTCAAGAGAAGCTTATGAGAATCGACTGTCCCAGTGTTTTGCCAAAGGGAACAAAGGTTTCTATGGGAATAGAATTATAAAAGAACTTTCAAAATGCCAATAGTTTATCAAATAAAACGTTGCATATTTCACCTAAATCTGACAGTTCTAACTATGGTAAATAAAACCTTTAATTCAATGCAAAAATATTGGTTTTGTCTACTCTCCTCAATGACAACTTATTTAGACAATATTTACTAAGATTTAAAAAAAGAAAAGACAAAAATATATTTACTAAAGTATAAGGTATTCAAGCCATTATTCAATTTTCCCTGGAAGCTGGAGTGTCGAAGCATTCAGGTCAGCTTCACGTAATACTTTAAACGCATTTTTCTCGAATCATATTTTTTTAAATCGTAACGCACTTAAACTTTTTTCTGTAGCTTCCCGTAATTTTATCTAGTAATTTGCGCAAGTTTTTTTATACAAATTTTAGAGGTAATTTTACTTTATCAACCATTCTAATGTAGATTAAATCCTACTTTTTCGGGTTTCAGAAAACACGAGTTCCTAGATTCATCACCATTTTTTTATCAAAATGTCTTTATGCATAAATGTCAATATAAACTTTTTTTAGGGCTCTAGATTGGCCTAATCACTTAAATTCCAAATAAATTAACTGTGATGTTTAAATATAACGACATGCCATTCTCTTCCTTTTTCCCACCTTTTGTAGCGCGTTTTGAACCAAATTAAAGCTTTTCAACATTGTTTTGAATTGTTTTCCACTTAGAAGTGTTTGAGTGACACAGTTACTTGAGAAGCCAAACAATTATTTGATATCAACACAAAAAGGAACAATAAAGCAATGGATGGAGATGTAAACAAATTTGTAAAAATTCATATACATATTCGTACATAATCGAATACTTGTGTACTTTCAAGGTCTCTTTGGTCATTTGACGCATGAACGGCTGAGTATGTTGTATGTTCATATCTGTTTACATACTTGTACGAGTATGTACAAATATATGCATGTACTCATAAGTATTTGTATTTGTTCGATGCAACCATGTCAATTGTTTCCTCATCTTATTACTTTATTGAGATCTTGTTTACTTTCTTTCAAGATTTCTATCTACAAACTTTCAATTTAAACTTACCAATTGTTTTCAAATCAAGCATCGAGCGATTATG